ACTGGTAACGTTATCTAGACCCAAGTCCCTCACGCACTCATTACCTGTAAGGTTTCCAGAGCTAAGAGCCGCACAAATGACTGTTTGTGGCTTATCCACCCAAGTGGAGTGATTATAGCCGTAAAGGTTGACGTTTTTTTGCCCCTAAAAGCTGTGGATAAACGCCGGCAGCCCTCCCCACCGCTAGCTATCCCTCACTGCAGCAGCTGGTACCCCGACCAATAGCAGCGTGGAGCTTGCTGAGAAATTGACCAATAGCGGCGTGGCCGTCTTTCGTGGCCGTCCTACCATATTCTAGACCAAGCCATACCTCCTGGTGGATGATGTGTAAACCGGATGTATTCACCAGCTACCGGAAACCGCAAGGTTAGGTGGGTATGACATCTAACCTACCTGATTATCTCCGTGTTCCAGGTGTTGCGTGGGCAAAAATATAGAAATCGAATAAGCTCCTTGCTCTAACTACCTGATTATGACGCTCTCTAAACATAAATGTTTTTCGGTGTTTAACATGGATATAACTACTATGACCAAAATATTTGAAGTGGATGTGGCCATGCAGGTGTCACTGCACCAAATAATGAAAAAAAAGTATTGAATATGCATGCATGCACTTTGAATATTAATTGGGCAAGCATATCAATAAATCTCCAAGGAGATAAACTGCCCCTGAAGCTGAAATTACAACTTTGCCACCACTTTGTATCATCTTTTTTTTTTCAATTTATGCATTGCAGCTCCCCAAACTAATTGATTAATTTAATACAATTTTTCCTTGAAATCATAGTTCATATAAACCATATGTGTTGTTCTGTAACATTACCGTTATGGCTTCATAAAAATGAAGAGGTGTCATAAACAAAGAATGCTGTCTGCCATGTTAAGAGCTCTACATGTCAGCATCTTTGTGTTCCATTAGCACTTGATTATTATTAACAGCATCAAAATACATACCGGTAGCTACAACTTACCGAAGCACAAATAGGGACCCCAATATGGCAGTAGATGCATCAAAGATACCATGCAGATATGCTCTGTACTAGAGATATGTTATAGACATATGACTAATTCCTTGCCCCTTTGACACAAAACATATTCTTCTATTATCCATTACCACTTCACCTTGCTGAAGGTCTGAACATAAACACACATACCACTGCTGTTTTATTGTCTCCACAGGTTTAATGATGAAATCACCATAGAATATTGCTATCTTAAGGTGTTCCAACTTTACACTGCCTGTTCTTTTCTTCCAAGTCTTTTCCACAAGAAATCAGTCCATTTGACTTGGTAGAGAACAAAGCACGAACACCTTAACATTTCACCAACTTTAAAAAGTATGACACAACTCATTCAAGATTATCATATAGTAATTACATGTACATATTTACCATATATACATATATTCTTTTCAAGTGTGGTAGGACACCTTCACATTGTTGCAAGTGTGAGAACATATATGGATGCATCACTTTGTAACCTTGCCTCGACAAGTCACTTTTCCCATCAAATTCCATGAATGTTATCAATCAAAAATCTCTGCTTCTCTGAAATTAATCCATTTTCAGTTCACTTAACTCATAGTTGGACAGTTTTCAAGGAACAGTTGGACACCTTGACAGGACTAAAGTAAAATATAAATATATATTACAAATGCAAATGAATGGTTTGATTTGTGTTAGTCCTTAAAGCAGATAAGGTTCCCAAAGACAGATTCATTTGAGAAAAAATGATGTATCAACATAATCTCTGCCTCAATATAAATTACTTTCATCAAGGAATGTCCTTGCTTTTATCTATGGTGCATGTAGTATATTAAGTGATATGTCTAGTCAAGTCAAGCATGCACATGTCTTACATCATATGCACCATTGAACCAGTGCAAATCTACTAATCATGGATTTGACCCACTCATGTCCAAGATGCAAAAGCTGCAAAAGCTGAGACCTACAGTAGTAATTGACAATAGATTTTGTGTCTGCCCTGTACTCAAATCTACTTAATGGCCCCTCATGGGCTTAGCTTAAGTAGGTTCTACAAGAGGAGCTGGCTTGACTATCTGGTTCTGTTGGCCAAGTGTAATTACATGTAGTGTACAATATGATTTATAAATAACAGGTTGTGTGATTAAGGCAATTTATTGTGAAGTTTCTCAATCCAGAAAAGCTCCATTAATATCTTTAACAACATAGTGATACAGTCATGTATGGATGGAAGTCATGATGGAACTGCTTGTACAAAATGCTACAACTCTTTACACTACTGGGTAAATACAGTTTATACATTGCAGAAAACTGACTTTGGTCATTTCAGTGGAAAATGTACAGATCTATGCAACAGGAATAAAATTTTTTAATATTTTTCTATTCATCATTTTTACTTTACCTAGCAGCACCAGTGGAACATCCTACAAATGTACAAGGCCTCCACAAATCTGCACTGGATTAGAAAAAAACAGCCTGAAGCATTCTCGCAAAACCGCCTTGACTCAAGTGACCACAGCAAAAAGTTTCTAACTTGGCAGAGTAATGCACAGCCCTTCTCTCAAGTTAGAAAAGTATTGTAACAAATTTTCTTAAGCAGGAAGCATCTACAAAGCAATCAATGTGAAAAATTCTGAATATTTTAGATTTGTTAGCTACATGTGATTAGATTAAGTTAAATGTCCTATATGAAATTGATGTAAAACAAACCAGAATGAAAAATCAATGACTGACTACTGAATTGAAAAGGACCAATAAAACCCATTGTGTGTAAAATGTAGCAAAACATCATCAGTGACCAGCAGAACATTGATTGAGAGGTTACCCAAAATTCATGCAGCATTTGGAATACAGTTAACTGGAAATATGTTACTTTAATAAGGAATCGTTTTAACAAAACATACAGTATCTGGAATCTTATGTTGCAGCCCACCAGGTTAAGTATCATTAGTGCTTGTGACCAATTGAGAGGAGAAGAGGGAACAAAGCACCTGTAACAAATGCAACAAGTTCCAGTTTACTGAAGCCATGATGGTGCCCTCCGTCACTACCCACCTCCCCACCACCCTGTGTTCCCATGCTCTGTATCTCAGGCAAGACGTGTACTGTGGCCACATACAGAAATGTGCCAGCTGAAAACAGCATGGTGATTCCTGTTGCATTCACTGATGACAGGGCCTCTTTGCCACTCTGTGGGGAGAAAAATATCTTTCGTCATCTCACATCAATTAACTATGAAAAATCCATCATCTTTATGCAATTCACAAATAGCATCAATAAGAATGTACATGTGTAAGAAATAAGCTGGTTTGGATGCTGATTAATATGATAACTTAATCACTATCCTCGCATTGAAAATAGATGGTGCCTTACAACATTTGCCTCATATTTCTAACATACACATGAAAACTGAAATTTCAGTTGCAGTTGTGTCTGTTGTGAGGATCCAATTTGCATAAATAGGTATTCCGTACTGTACCAGTGATGCTGGTACAGTACTAGTAGTATTTACCATCAATGTTAACTTACCAATGATGGTACATGCTGCACCAACATAATGATTTGAGAGTCAAGAAGGCATTGGTATGACTCACCTGGCTAAGTCCAAAGTATGTGATGATAGTCAATAGTGGAGCAGCTAAGGAGAAGATTAACAGGTGTTTTCTTATTCTGTTCCTGTCAAAACCCTCATGCATGAGGAAGGACACCAGGCCAAATGCTGCAGGAGCCTGAAACAGATATGACACAATTAATGCCACCTCAATGGGCTACCATACTGACCTGACTTTGGTAACCTATATGAGCCTGAACTGAATTGCCTCAACTGAAGGAAAAGCTGACCTTACTTTGTCCTCTGAGTGTTAATGTAAATATAGCACAGAAGGACATCTTTCTATATTGTGTTATATTTGTGGCAACAATTTTACGCCAAACATTGTGTTAAGAAAATCCCTTTACTATACATAAAAATATGAGCAATACTTGTATTGTGCACAAAACTTCAGAACTCACCTTGTGCAACATGATTGCAATAAAAACTATCAACTCTACATCAGCCCTGGCTGTAGAGGCTGCAGCTCCCAAAGCTACACCATCAGCTATAAAACACAGAAAAAATGTTTGTTTCATTTGTTGTTACACTGAATCTGTAGCCTTTCAAATCTGTTTCACTATCACAAAGGATAGCTTAAAATAAGAACACTCATTACCTCGTAGTTTGTTGTTTGTATGTATGATAATACTTGTACAAAAGATGGTGTGTGTATGCTACTAAGGTTTCTGTTTATCATTGAAATTACATTTGTACATCATAGTGATCACCACAGTGCAACAGAGCCCTCTGTCTGAACTGTCCATAATGCAAGAACAGCAACAAGTAGACAGTTAGCACAACATTTTTTACTTGGTAATTTATAGAAAAGTTTTCAAAAATACAGATGTACAACCCTTCAAAAGTCTAGGCTAAGAATGACAACATAGCATTCAGCAATCATGTCTGCTGGGTGTTAAAAAAAGAGCAGTGGTACAAACTTACCTGCAGCATGGACAACAAGGCCTAATGTGGCTGTTATTTTGTTCCTATTCTGCTTTGTGGGTGTGCTTCCCTCTACATCTGAAAAAAATCAGGAGTCATAATATGTATTTACAGACTAGGAAAGCATTCTGTACATTTCTTAGCAAAATGTGTATTCCTCATCTGTGAAACTACAAGTACAACTACAAGTGATGAAAAAGTAAAGGCAACGTACCAGTAGTATGGGAGTGGCCATGTGCCCCTCCAAGCTGGTCTACTAGCAACATGAAGACAAAGCCCAGCACCAGGGACACACCGATGTACTGGTGAAGCTCTTCATGCTCATCATGGTGCTCGTGCATGTGGAAGTGGAAGTCCTTTGATGTGTTAACAACTTTAACAGCACGTGGTCCAACACTTTCAATCATCCTAGCATGGTGTTTCTCTATGATAGAAGACACAGTACATTGTTATAACAGTTTGGTTGATAACATAATATGTAAAAAATGGCATGTTATGCCATCACTTCTACAATTAAGGCAAATAAAGTAAACTATTGGCCTTCTCCAGAATCTTGGTCGCAGCAGTACCCAGTCAAAATTCAAACACTTGGGATATATTCAAGATGTATTTACCAGTCTGGACGGAGTAGAGTGAATGGACACCCTCTGGAATGATGACAGCTAATGCAGTACCCACCAGGAGCCCAGCTCCCATCACAGTCACAAGCTTTAGTCTTTGCTGTAACAAATCAATCAAAGGCACTTTGTATTTCTCAAATACTAGTAGCTAGGGGGAAATACACAATCATCTGAATTTCCAAAGATGGTAATCTCTTCATTTCAGAAATAGAAGTGCATATCACTGCTTCTGGGATAGTCACGCAAATGCCAACATTGATCAATATAAGTTACTGTAAATAATTGTAAAGTATCCATAGTACAAATGGTATTCATAATACTAGTACTAGCAACATACTAATGGGGTCCTTTAATTTGTTTAAAATAAATTTTGGAATCATTAATCAACTAGCTTAGACTAAGCTACAGTAACTTTCAATCAGTTGGCAATACATTTGTAAATTGTCTCCAATCATATAGGAGGATATTAAAAAATCCTTGATTTACAAATGGAAAGATTTAGCATATGGATGGATGAATCGATCTTGAACATGACCCTTGTGTCTTGACCCTGCATCAAAACGCACAGCAACCACAGCAAAACTAAAATCATTTCAAGGAAAATTGCTCTGCCTGGCAAACATTAGCTTTATGCGAAAGAATCGGTAAAAAGGCTCGGTTTCTGCCAAGAAATAAACTTAAATCTCACCTCAGACAACGATATGGCAAGTGGTATGGAGCCTGCCACGTAACAACCCACTAACATCGCTAGGGACAGCAGCGTGATCCCCCAAACATCCCCGATCCACATGTCCATGGCTCGCTACTACAGGAGTCGCTAGATCTTCTTAAAAGTTGTAATAAAACCCTAGAGCTCTCTAAGTCAAAATAATTCGTTTAATCATGACACTTCGTCCCTGTGTCGAATCTTGACGCCTCCTCTACGACAGCCAGGTTTCCCAGGCTGCATCATTCTAGGACAAAGGTTAAAGGTTAGTAAATAAACAAGAAAAAGGTTTTGATAAAGTGGTTAAAATTTCTAAATACTATCATAGATAAATGACATATTTTCCTACAGTGTGTTTTTGCCACTAGTTGTCAGCAATTTGCTAGAAAGAACGAATACTACTCAGAGCAAATCAAGGGTCATAACCTTTGCCCTCAGGACGCGTATTTTTTTTCATCGACGCTTTGGAGATCATCTTTTCTCAACGTTTTGCGTAATTTGAGGAGGCATTTTGCTGTCTGTATCGGTAGGAATGGTGAGAAAGATCTTTTTGGGACACACTAGTAGATGATTGTGCTTTTGAGACTGTGTGTAGAATGCACGAGCTGGACCACATGGGTTTCTAGTCGTTTGTGCACCAACTTGCACCTAACGTTACCTCCCCTCTACTTGCTGTCGTGGGTACCCACGGGTGGGCGTTATAATTTGCTGTTGGGTGGATCGTGGACGTGTAATTATTTGGCGCAAACCGTTGACTTCGCCTGTTTTCTAGATCTTGTATGAAAAGTACTAGACTCACAAAGCTTTAAATGTCCATTCACATCTGTGAAATTGAACGCAATTATACAAATAAAATTATTAGAACCATGTCTAGCGGAAAAATAGACGTTAACAACATTTCTTCCCTATTCTGTCATAAATATTTTGTGTCTGTATTCTGTGTTGTTGCCTTCCGAGTAGAATATGCATAGATATGATGATTCTCACGTAAATGAATATATGATTAGTCTCAAGTACAGCTATTAAATACACGCAACTTGATGCAGGGCTCGAAATTCATTTTGAGCATAGGTGCACTGTATCAATTAAAAAGTCACTATAGCCGATCCCTGGGATTGGCTCTATGGACTTTAACCTAGAAATGTAGATGCACAGAAATGTTGGGGTGCAGAAACTGCAGCACATAAGTGTCAGCAAAACCTTAATTTTAATACAAAACTCTCCACCACAGACTTCTGAAATTCTATAGCTACGGTAACTTTAAATATGTTAGATGTCAAGAATATGCAGTGTAGTATATACACACATTATTATTGTAATATAACATCATATAATGTAACCCTAAATGTCTATAGGGCACAATAGCTAGGTTAAGACTATAAGAGTAAAAAAAATAGGCACACAGTTCTAATTTGGGTGCATTTGCACCCAATATGTTGAACCCTCCAAATAACTAAGTTGCTTACATTTATCAAATTTCCTGCTATCGTGAGGCTTGGCTCAAATGTTGATTAATAGTATTTGAAATTGCTTTGGAGTCAGTTCTTCAAATCCCTTTTTTACAGGCCCATACCATATTGTTGGTCCAGCCAACTGGCAGGCCAGAGTCCAGAACATACTCAGACTATGAAACAGTGACGGAATGTATGGAGGGTAAGTATGATTACAAGACAAAACACATTTGATTACATCACAACATGATCATAGTCTGACTTCCTATCACTGCCATTATGAAGATGCCACCATATTGGGTATTTCTAAAGTAATATAACTTATAAGCAGTGTTTTGTTGCAATGCTGTTTGCAAATAAATGATTCATGACTTTGATACATTGCATCTGCCAGGTGTGTGCAAGATATTTGAGGAACACTTGAAGAGGGTAAACCCCACCAGCCCTTCCATCACCTATGACATCAGTCAACTGTTTGACTTCATCGATCAGCTAGCTGACCTAAGCTGTCTTGTGTAAGTACTGATCGTAACCTTCTCAATATAACAGAAGAGCTCAAACTATGAACATATGTTCCTACAATGATGGGGGTTAGTAATTTTATTATTTGTAACCTGCATCAGAGTTTCCTTTAGGCAGCATACACATTCCACCATGTCTGATGTGACACTATTTATAGCAGGTGGTTTAAAAAAACATGTACCTTTAGTGTAGGAATTTGTCTTTCCTCACATAAAGGTAAAACACCATGCTTCACCTAAAATAAGGAGAAGCATAGCAAGTACATGCACTAGTGCAATGCAGCTTCATCACAATGATATTTTTCTGGGGAAGGAGGCATCCATCCTGGCCAAAGATGATTTATTTGAAGCTTTCAAATTTCAACTTCTATATTTATTCTAGGTTTCAAAAATCTACAAACACCTATGCACCCCACGACAAAGACTGGATCAAAGAAAAGATCTACATCTTACTGAGAAAACAGGCTGAACAAGCAAGGATGGACTGACATTGAAGTCATCTTCCTAGGACACTTAATCTTTCATACAAGTTGGATTTCTAAAGGAAACAGTGATGCTTGTCACCAAACCAAGGAAGACAACAAAACAATATTACCAAGATGAAAGTTAGTTTTGTTACTCAGGTTCTTTTACAGTTACGTTATGTCTTTACAGTAGCCCCTAGAACTGTTAGAGGTATTGTGAGTTTGTCTATACCCCCAAATATTTATGATGTAAAGAGTTTGTAGTCGATCAGGAAGCAGCCTGTAAAGTTTGTTTTTCAGGTTGAGACTTGATAAGCAATATTACAACTATACAAGGGAGACCTGAGACAGCAAGAGGTATTGATGTACTACGTGTATATCTATAGGTGTAGAGGTAGTGTATGTCATGGGGATAAAGTAAGAATACTCCAACATCAATGTAGTCAACTAGTGTATTATTCCAACTATATCAATGGCAAGCAATCTGATTTTGAAGTACTGAAGTCATTAAACTGTGGAAAGACCTCTAAGCATGGTCAAAAAATCCCTGTTGTAGCTTGCCATGACATACTAGGTATCTAAACACGGATACAAGTAATACCTGGAAGTTCTTTTGGGTTGTGTTAACCCCCAGAAGTTTTGTGTAAAATAGGGTACATTGTAGAGAAACCATTGGCGATAAGTTGCTCTCTACTTGATGACAAATCCATTCAGTTTCATCATCAACAATGTGATGTGTAAGTCTTTTTAACATGTATACGTGGGTCAGTTGAATACCGTAAATGAGTTTTATGTTGATCACGGGTTGTCAAAAGATGCTAACATATCTGTGCTACACTGAATCTGTGCACCTGGCTCACGTCATGAACAGATTCACTTGTTGCAGGAAAGGTTGTGGAGTATTGCTGAAATTTTGTTGTGTTTGTTAATGCAGCCTTTGTTAACATAGTAACCTTATATTCATAGTGTCATTCAAAGGCATATACATGTGTAGCAAGTAAGTTCGTGTAGTATTTTTTAGAAATATTGTTCATTAAAATATACAAAGTAGATGATGAAAGAAATGTTTATGACACCTCTCAGTGTATTCTATTACACAACATATCAGTCACAAACAATCAGCAGCCAACCATTAGACAGTCAATTTATTTATTTATTGTCACTATATCAAGATCACAGCAATCAAAAACAGGTAATTATTAATGATGACTGCATATCTTGAGGACTCTTTCCACATTCAGCCAGTCATTGCAGCATTTTGTAGACTAATTGAAATATTTCAATTAGTCTACAAAATGGGAAGGGTATACTGCAAAGTGGTACATAATTATACTCCAAAGGGCCTTACATCAAATTTAACTATAAAGAAGCCATCATAGTTTGTTATGGTTAACAACAAACCTACTAAGCTGTAGCATATACATTTTTGTTTAGTACCAGTAAGTAATCTAAGTAAGCTTGGAATTTATTTCTTTACTAATGACATTAATCCAGCTACAACAATTGCTGTTTTTATAAGTTGCATTGTATCTTATCTTTGATTTAAGATGAATGGGTAGCTGAATGCTGTTGTTTCTCTATTGCAGCATTGCTACAGATACTGGCAAAAGTAAAACTTGTCCAGCATGAGACGTCCCATAGATGTAACGTTATTGTTGGGACAGCACAGCAGGAACATCACTTTTACAAGATGGTGCACCCACCACCTCCCTCCACATTTACCACAGCTGTAACAGAGTAACACATCATTAGTTACTACACTGGTAACCTATTAGATTGACAGAACAGAGTTCTAATGTGCTAGTCTTGCTGTTAGTATTGGTATGTTTAGGACATTATGTTCATTTATTGGCATATAGGAGCAACATTGTATATAGTAGACATTAATGAATACAAGTGTGACATTCCCATAGTCATAGTGCTTGGTTCTACATGTAGTTGTCCTGTAGAAGACATCATGGGATCAGGAAGACATTACATAATGCTACACAGACCACCACGTTCCACCTTCACCACAGCTGTAACAAAGAAATATGTACCATCAGTTACACACATGTACATGTACTGCAGGTGATCTACACTTGACTTAAGTAAGTTATGATATGTCCTTCCTTTTAGGTACTTGTAAGTTGCATGTAATGTTTATGTAGCAGGGAATGGTGTAAACTACTGAAATATTATATTTATAATGCAAATGATAACTCAGGCCATCATTCAGTTCACATCAAGGGGTAACATTGGTATATGCTGTTTTAGTAGTTGTTATTGTCCAGGAGAAGATGTCTATGAACATGTAACCAGTACATGTACATGTGTACTTACGTGGAGGTGCATCCCTGATGGCCTGCATCAAATCCACCATCTGCCTGTTCATGTCTGCCTGCTGGTCCTGCATCCGCATAATCAGGTCCTGCATCTGGGATGAGGACTTCTCATTGAACTCCTGGGGGAGAAGTTACAGTAGGCATGGCAGTTAATCTATACAGTTATGTCTCTATTGCGGTAATAGATTTGTTTGTGTTAAACGCACAATAGCCAGGGCAAAATCTGAGTATACTGCATTGATAAAGCAGCAAAATATCATTTCGCTTTGGAAAAGTCATGCATTCTGGTAGAAGACAAAAGTGATCATAGTGCTGCTGAAAATTGGATCATCTACATGTGTGAGAGGTGCTTGAAAATAGCTGACCTTGTTCTTAGACTGTTACTCTACTGTGGCTCTACTACTTTTTCTTACCCTTGCCATGGTTGCATACTGCTCCATCTGTGCATTCTGCAGGTCTCTGTACTTCTGTTCCTCCAGCTGACGTCGCTCTGCCTCCTCCTGTTGTACCTGAGGTTCAAAAGGTATGGCACAATGGCAGTGATAATGGAGATGGTATGAAGCCTTTTTACCACTTTCTGGAAGCATAAGCAATGACTCCAATATCCAGCACCTGATTATTGGTGAACAGTTCTTGGAACATTCAAAGTTGAGTACAAATATTACTCAGTTACTCAGGTAAGCTGATATCTTAATGTAACATGTACCTTCTCCATCTGCTCTCTATGCTGCTGCTCCATTTTCTGCAGAGTTTCCTGGTGGGCCTGCTGCATGTCTTGCTGCTGCTCATACAGCTGCCTCACCTCTCGGGCCTTCTCCTTGGCCTGGAGCTCTGCCTCCTGTGCCTTCTGCTGTTCCTGCATCAGCTGGAGGAATGAAAGAATTGTCACACACAGGCATGTTATATATGCATTGTTCTTTGGAATGTATATTGCTTCTCTGCTGGAGGGTTCCAAAGCATTATACAGTCAGGGACTCAGGGATAAGAAAAATGAAAGTATGCACCCCTCCAACCTCAGACACATTATAGATCTTTGAAAAATCTTTGCCTGCAAGTTAAATTACAACTTCGGCACTGTAAAACCTTATGTAAAACCTTATAATTGTGCAATTCCTTGTATTGAGAAGATTACCTTCTTCTGGTATCCCTTGATCTTCTCAAAGTTTGCCTTGAGTTTCTCAAAGTTTTTGGTCATCTCTTGCAGGACAACCCACTTTTCTGGACCACGAGCCTGCTCGCTGTAGCGCTGGCGTGCATTGGTCAGCTCTCCCATCAGCTTCTGGAAGTCGTAGTCTGGTGGAGGTGACTCTACATGCTTCCTAGAAATTAGATTATAGTATATTAGAAAATCAAATCTGGAATGTCAATGTTATTTCAACTTAAATGTCATGACAGAAATCATTAAATATAGTGATAATAGTATTCAGTTGGAGTATCACTCTATTACATAATGTCAGAATGTCAATTTCACCTACTGTCTGAGCAAAAAAATTTGCAATACCTAATTGGGTCAAACAAGCGCTCAAAAAGCTTCTGGCAGAAGACCTTGGAGAGTTCTTTGTTTTCTTGGATGTAGTGGAAAAGCTCTCCACCAGTAACAACAAATCCCTTCTGCTTCTTGGTGGTACCATCGGCTGCCACATAATCAAGTGTGCGCTCCTCTCTTTGAACTGCAGTAAACCAGATACAAAGAATTGCTGTAAATCAAGTACGTGTACCAGGATATCAGACAGTTTTAGGCCTTCTGAATTTGTGTTTCACTGTGCTTTTAGTGGACTAAAAACACAGTGAAACACAAATTCAGAAGGCTTAAAACTGTCACATCAATCCGTTTCATGATGCCATAATTATAAAGACTACCTGCATGTCTCTTGGCAAATTCAGTAATTCCAGAACACCTGTAAGAGATGCAATTTCATTTTTGCAAGGCTGTGCAAAATGCAAAGCATGCCTACCCAAACGTTTTTGCATTTGGTCCACCACAATCTTGTTCTCATTGCCCAGCTCCCCTGAGCTGATACCAAGATGGCCGACCTTCTCCAGCAGCATGTCTGTGACGATCTTGAACAACTGGTTGTGGAGGTCCATGAGAGAAGGCTGGCTGGGGGGTTTCCTATGCATATATAGAAATGGAATAAGCAGGGCATCTAGGGCTATTTCCTCAATATAGGAAATATCTTAGTTGATACACTTGATTGAAAGCTTTCAGTTTTTCTAGAAAAATATTTCATCAGTAAAATCTATTAGCATACCCTTTGTTTTCCGTATCTTCCAAGGGAATCTGTCCCTTATTTGTGGCTGCAGCTACCTGGGCCTACAGAGTAAGGTAAAAAGTATGTGATATGAGAAATTTCATAAATGAAGAAGAATACTGATGGGGAGTGAACTGGATTGATGGTGACATACTCTGACACAATCTTAGCACTTACAGCACTTTTTACATTCAAATTAATGATACTTATAATGTATGACATTGTGCAGATCTTACCTTCATCTGCTGGTTATACTCTACAACCACCTCGTCAATGGCCTTGCCCCGCATGAGCTGTATGGTGTTCTTCCAGGTGTTGTCCAGGGCAGGGATGGCCTTGGGGTCATTGACCGCTTGTACGTACTGCTTGGTCATGATGCTGAGGGCCACACCTGAGAAAAGATGCATATTTGGAAAGCTTGCTCAGCAAAACTGCCTTTGATGGGAATTCATAGTTCTGCCACTTGTAATACAAGTAAGTAAAGGTGCAGAACATTATTCACATTGTCTGTGCAAAACTGATTACATGTACTTGTAATGACATTGATTCCTCTCTCTTACTCACCACTGACAGTTGAGCCCTTGTCATAGCCTCTCTTGGCACGTGACTTCTTCAGCAGCCTCTCAATGAGGTCGTGCACACCCTTGTTAAACTCTGGGTTGAGGCTGCCCGTGTGCTGTGCAATGTTGTTCATTACCTCCTTCTTCTCAGAGGGTCGCTCCAAGGTGGCACACTCCACGGAAGAGAAGAATGTAAGGATGGCCCGTCCTACTCTGTCACTGGTGGACTCGTCAAAGTCGTCCTCACCCTTACGTGCAAGGACCTGAGTGCAGAAGGTAAGCTATCAACAACAGTGGAACAACTTACTCCTTATCAGCATCAGTTCATACAGGTATCGCATACAGGTATCAGTGTAATCTGACTTCAGGTTTTTTCAAACCTTTAATAGTAACACTTCTAGCTGACTTCTTTTAATGCTTTCATACCTTCATCTTCCATCAATCACTCTCTGGTGACAATAATTGTGCACTGCATATTTTATATCTTACCCTGGTCTTCAAGTACTCCGAGGGATCCATGTCTTCACCATCCTCGTTAGTGATCATCAGAGACACATCTCGCAACAGCCACAGGAAGTCTGGGAAGAACTCACGAAATGCTGACATCTGTGTCTTTTCTCCTTTTTTAACTGTGATCCCTTTAGCCAGCTTAATGAAACACCTGGTGAGATTTTGAATGAAAAACAATGTCTGTCAGTGATTCAATATACCAGTAGATATTTACAATGAAAATGAAAGTAGATTTGCTACAATTTTACAGCAAAAAAAAGAGTATTGCTAAGACCATAACTTCTTCCCAATAGTAGATAATACTGTAATGGAGAGCGTAATCTGCACAGAAGCAGAGACTGATGGACAGTTTGTAGTCACAATATTATTATAACCTGTAGAGTATGATCAATGTACTCACTGCATCTTCTCCAGGTCTCCCTTGTACGGCACATTGAGTGAGTTGTAGATGAGTAAGGAGGACAGCAGGATGGTCATCACCAGGATACGGGCATCCTGGTCAGCACTGGCTCCAGCTGCATCTGAAGTATGGAGGGTTTGCGTGACTCAGAATTTGTTTTTCAGAATTTTTTTTGTGTGTGTGTTTGGATATGGTACTACCCTTGGATACCAATCTGGAAGCTGGTGTTGATTTAACAAAATTTGTCACATGACACTGTAAGCACCTCTCTCCATTGAAAGGAATACTTTAAGCTAGTAATCAGAAGGGCTAATATTCAACAGGCAGAAAAATATCTCTTTGAATACTAGTATGACATTTCAATCAATTCCTACATGCATTTCCTTGCATTGTTTTCCACATACCTACTTTCAGTAATATTTAATTCATGTGCAGTAGCTACAAACTAGACTGGCTACCATCTGAGGTAGGTTGTTTATGGTTCCAAGTGTTATCCTCTATGCCAACCCTGGTGACCCACCTATGCCTTCTGTGTCCAGCAGCACAATGGTGAAATCTTTCCCCCGCAGCACTTTGGTGCCCATCCAGATACCAAACGTTTGGGGGTCCATACGATGGCCCAGCTCAAAGGCATCAGCAGTGCCCAGTAACCTATAACACCAATGAATGATTTGAAGAAGCGTGATCTTAAAACATCACATTGATCATGTAAATGAAAACCTAATTTGCATAATTAATGGGAAAATCCTTAAGTCGTGCTAATTGCCGTGAATTTCATACTTACTGCATTACAGAAATTAATTTAAAAGGTGAACTTGATTAAACATAACTTATAAAAATCAGGACCTAATTTGCATAATTTATGGGGAATGCTAGAATAACTTACAACTTTCATTGGGTGGAGAATATTAAGAGGTGATATAATTCATGCAATTGTATCACATTTGCATAATCAATGAGAAACATTTACAATTCGTCAGTCGTAAACATCTGACGATATGAGATCGTGGAACTCTTTTTAACAATTCACAGCCAGCCTGTTCTTTTATGCCATCATGAGTCATTTAATACTCGGGTCACTTGCTGTATGTGACTTTGGAGACGGCGAAAGACTACAAAAGTAGATTACCGGTGGCAAAAAAATGTTGAGTGACCGAAACCTTGAATGCCGAAGTGACTGACTGTGTTGCATACCAAAATAGCTGGCAAGGCTAACGCAAAGCTAAGGTTTTACTAGTATTGTCCTCGAAGCACGGCAATATGAAATCGGTTCTACTTAAGTTACATAAACAATATTCCATGAACACTACCTGGAGAGGACGTAACTTTTACCGCTCCGACATGGCCCACATATTGCCAGTGTGCTCACGGGCTCTTCGATCCCCTCCAACAGGGCCAAGGCCTCGGGAACAACTTGCAGCGTATCCCGTCGGGCGCCCTGCACCTTCTCGACTGCGCCGGTGGAGGCATTGTACTTCAGATCGTTCGGCAGAATCAGCGGGATGGCGGAGCCCTGGACGGCCGTCCCACCTGCCTTCGGCCGCAGTGCCTCGACTTTGAACCCGTGCTTAGAATGTAACCCCGACATGTCGCCGGTGAACCAGGTCACTCAAAAAGAGATACAAAGTGTGCTCTGCTCACTGCCACCGGGCGGAGATCTTCTCTTCGTCTGGGCGTTTTGCCGAAACTCTGCGTTTAGTTCCCCTTTTATCCAGATCCGCAAAGTGTTCGGGGATTTCCAATGTTGTCATTGGACAATACTATAGGGCCCAATAGTATACACGATAACGAAAGCAGAAAGGGTATCAATGAGGTTTCCCAGTAATCGGCCCTTGCATCGTTTTAATAATTTATTTTGCCAAAGTTTCACCAGGCAGTCATCTGAAGTTTGTGCACGCCATGGAAAAACATTGTCACCCTGTACTGGATAGACTGAGCTGTATTACAAACCGTGAATTCGTAACTTCTAAAACCACATATAGACCCCCGTTATTAAGTTGATAGAATGAGTCATCCTGAAAAGTCCCTGATGAAAATTCCCCTCAAACCTGTGAACAATGCGGCGGAAAACCGATCCCTGTAGAACAATATGAGCTCCTTTTGCAGAGAAATTCAGCATTCAGTGCCGAGGTCATAAGGTCACAAACACTGTGGGTCACACTGAATATCCGTGCGCGACTGGCTAGTAAACAATATTTTGTATAATCTATATATGAGCGCCCAGTTTGCAGCCATACACGTTCAACATATAAAAGTAGAGTCAATCTTCGAACTTATTACTAAGAAGTCCCTACAGTTTCACATAAAACTGCTTTTGCCAGATGGCCCCAGAATGTGAAAGTGAAAGTTGAATTCAGTAAAGTGACGTCAGTTCCAGTTTCGGTGGTCTTGTTTTCATCTTGTGTGAGTCACAATTGGGGTTATTAATCTGCGTTGTAAGGAAAGCGAAACTTCTCTCAGAGATTCTCATCCGCACGCTGCATGGGGATTAACGGTACCCTGTTCTGAGAAGGTTCGGTGCGGGAATTCCCCTGTTTGACTCAATAGGGGAATGCCGCACTGTTAGTCAGGAAAATCCCCGCGTCAAGTTCCCCTTTCTCCTCTGCGTTGGAGCAGATCTCACATTCACAGCCGTTCAGTCGACTCGTGGTAGATGGCAAGCATGGCGACCCAGCGGAACTTCTCCGTCGAATCCCTCGGCCAGGGTCAGTCTATCCCACCGTCTGTACCGCTAGTCCTGCCCAATAACCTGGAGTACGACCTCGGCACGCACACCGTTCGGCGCAGGCCGGGGGTTGAGCGGTCATCCCTGACGGTGGTGGCCGAGGCCATGTCGCTGCTGGCGGGTATTGACGCCCCGGTAGCGGTGGTGGCAGTGACAGGACCCTGCCGCTCGGGCAAGTCCTACATGCTGTCCCGCATGCTGGGGTCCTCAGACGCCTTCCAACTAGGACACTCCTTCGAGCCAGAGACTTTCGGAATATGGATGAGCACCAAGGTAAGTTTCATTCATAACGGAATAGAGGTATACAGGGTTTGATTGTCACACCATCACAATTCAGGTTTTAATATAGCTGAATAATACGTATTTTATGAAAACAGCCTTTTATTTCGCCCAATTTGATATTCACAGGTGTTGACATGTGACGGGCTGACAGTGGTGTTGCTGGATACGGAGGGTATCGACGCCGTTGAGGCTGAGGCCCAAAACGACGCCTCCCTGCTGGTACTGACCATCCTGTCCTGCTCCCTGCTAGTGTTTAACACCACGTCTGTACCAAAACAGGGCCAGTTGGAAAAGCTACAGTAAGTCATTGTGACATTGTGTTTGCTTTGCCAGTACTGGGTTCACAGTTCAGGGCACTAGGATATCGATTGTCTGCTATGCACGTTCCTGTTTAGACTGACTGGTAGTTTCTCTCCTTCAGAGTTTGAAGTCACAATTAAAGAAGTATACATGCAAGAGATACACTTTTGTGTAAGGCCGCTAAACAGTCATTTGTCAAAAAGTCAATTGATTAATTAAGCAACAATGAGACGGCTAGTTGAAATATCATAAATGCTTGAATAAAAGGTTAGACTTGCTCATATGCGGAATTCTACACATACCGGTATTTATCTTTTTGCAGGTGCTTTGCCGAGTTAGCAGAGGCCGTCCGTATTTGGAAAAGCGGCGAGCTGGACCACGAGGAGTTCAGCCGTCATTTCCCCGACCTCCTCTGGTTACTGCGGGACTCCACTCTCACGCCGACCGACGCCGACGGAAACCCAATAGATGCTCGGAGCTACTTGACCGTGAGTAAAAGTAGAAATATCATAATAAAACCAAATATAATACGATGGATTTTTATTAATTGAAAACGACAGCAACGTAGAACAGATAGGAAACTAACCGTTTATCCGATATAAATCTCGCACCGACAGAAGAGGGTCCTGAAAGAGAGCGGTAAGTTCAGACCCACACCTAGCGACATGGTCAGCCGGGCCATCACCGGCTTCTTCCCGGCCCTGGACTGCCGCACGCTCCCACCTCCGTCCAGCGACAAGCACGTCATGCAGAATATCGAGACCAACCAGGACAGGCTGGACCCTGAGTTCAACCAAGGCATGGATGACCTGGTGAAGCACATCTTGTCTACTGTCAAGCCCAAGCAAGGCTTCGGACAAGGTACGGTTACAGTGCGAAGAATATAACGGTTCAGCACTACCGTATTGATGGCGATAGCACCTACTTTGTTTTAAAAAAAATGCCGATCAACGCCACACTTACTTTAGGTTGCACACTTGCATCTTCGATCGTTTATGTTTCATATCAATGTCTTTCAGGAAAGACAGTTACGGGCCGTCAGCTGGCAGCCCTTGTTCAGCATTACGTCGCTACCCTGAACGACCCTAGGTCCATGCCGACCCTGCAGACCGCCTGGGACGCCGCGCTCATGACGCTGGTGGAGGACACCGTGCGGGAGCTGCAGGAGAGATATGTACGGGAGATGCGCCACGGAATAGAACAGGCTGGCGGCATGCCTCTGGAGGAAGGTGGGAGACACTTTTTTCTGCAATTTTGCACCAGTTTTGCTGGTATGATCCTTTCGTCATAAAAATGGCATGGACCCTAAATTGTGTTGCAACTCGATCAAGCTTCAGCAACGTGCATTAGTTCCCTTATCTAACAAAAGCTGTAAGTTGTAACTTTACAAAGTAAAAGATTAGTTTACAAATCATCATCTTATTTCCCTATGATAACACTTACTAACTTCTGCCGTAGATCCCACCAGCAGTGTGCCATCCATGATGTCCCTGCACCAGGCTGTGTTTGAAGGGCTCCTGGACACCCTGAAGGGTCGGCTCCACACGTTTTGTGAGGTGGCCGAGATGACACAAGCCGTGGTGGATTTGACAGCTGGCGTCAATGGAACCCAAGGTACATTTCGTTTTTCAAGCTACCTTAAGTCCCCATTACTTTCCCTACTCCCCATGCAACATGAATCATATGAGTACCCCCCAAATCATCCTTTAATGACATGTACAAATGTATCTCCATACAGATGGCAGCCACGGGATCCTGTCCACCCTTCTGAGTGAGAACCGCAACAGCTCCGAGAGTTTCTGTAATCAGCTGATCCAGGACCTTTACAAGCCCATCAGCGATAAACTAGCATCTCCGCCGGAGGACTATGATATCAAGGTATACATTTGTTTATGAACAGTGTGTGTGTGCGGGGGGGGGGTGGCTAGTTCTGATTTATCATGCCGTCCTTTTCAGCGTCTTCAAACTTCAAAAACTGGCGTTTGACTGGAAAGTTACGTCATTTTTTTTTAATTTCTAGGCCCTTGAAGCTGACCTGGCGCAGCTGAAGGCGACATATGATGAGAACGCCAGAGGACCGTGCAAGCACAAGGTTTACCTGCAGTTCGCAGAATTCCTGGAGGGACAGAAGACAACATTTTCTACCATCAAGGTATCAAAATTCAAATGAATCATACTGAATGGAAAAAAACTAGGACGTTTGAAAATGTAAGCAAAGGAATGCTTACATTTACAAACGCCCTAGATTTTTTTTAATCATAGACCATAGTCTGTTGGTATAACCAGCCCATGACTATAGAAATGCTACGGGAATGTTTTATTTCTATACTCATGGATGATGGATGAATTCTGATCAGGGTTTCCAAGAGGAAGATTACAAGCTACAGGAGGAGACGCGGCGGCGGGAGGCTGAGGTGGCCACCCTGCAGGAGGAGAGGCTGCAGGTGGAACGCCAGGTGGCGCTGTCCATGAAAGAGCAGCAGGACCAGGTGGAGATGCTGATGGCTGAGTTTGGTCGGGAAGTGCAGAATCTGAAAGAGGAAGAAAAGTAAGTTGAATACACAGCCAACATTGTTTGACTACAGCAATTGCGTGCATGGCCGGAGGCGAGTCCAATATCATGGCAGAGGAAGTCATGTTCGACAACAGTGACTACGTTTACATTTGATATCATATGTAACTAGAAACATTATGTCTCACAGATATATGTAAGTAAATAGCAAATAGATTCAACGGCTTCGTTGTTTCAATACATGTACTTTTATCCAGAGAGCGCCGAGACGCCATCTTGCGGAACCTGCAGGCGAAGATGGAGGAGACGGCCCGGCGGAATGTGGCGATGCTGGAGGAACTGTCCCAGCGCCAGGATGGCATGGTGCAGCAGCAGATGGAGGCCATGCAGCAGCAGCAGCGGCAGCAGATGGAGACGATGATGGGGATGGCAAAGGCCATACAGGAACGTAACGACAAGCTCGCACAAGGTTCGTGGTCGATATCAGATTTGCCACTTTGACTGTGCTGTAACACCGTGATCAGTTTTCAGCGACGACATTGTCCAGCAGGGACACAGCCATAGAACGTTTTCGACCTTTAAAACAATTTTCAAGTTCGTTTTACTGTGACAACATGCCTCAGTACTGTACTCAGTACTGTGAAAGTGCTGTCCGAGTTGCTTCTTGTAACTAACATTTTGTGTGGATTTCTACAGAGGTGCAACGACAAGCGGAGAAGACCAAGTCTCCGGGAATGTTGGACAAGGTCATGGGTTCCGTGGTCGACATCTTTAAGCAGGGGGCTTCTCTGTTCCTCATGTCCAAGTTTCCTCTGGTGGGCGCTGCCGCAGCCGTCGGCGCAAGCGCAGCTCAGGCTGCAACAGGCCGCACCGCCAGCACCAGTACCGTGCCAAAGGCACCAAGCACTAAATAAACGCGTTAATGTAGAAGTAATAGCGCTAGCAACACGCATGGTCTTTACTTTTACATTTGCAGCAAAAGATAGTGTAGATTTTTTCTCATGCATGTATATGTAACGGTACATGTATATCACTTTAACGTTCTGACAGTTACTATACGTGACTTCCAGGTGTCTTGCTTGTTGTAGTGTTTGTCGGGTCAATATAGTTGCCAACTACCAGACATTTTAGTATTCAAATAAAGAGTTCAAATGATTTCATGAAAGACGGAAGAAGTGAAACCTAATGGTGAGATTTGTCACTCGTCATTTGTCGTGTATTTTGGCTGAACTTTTGCGCATGCTCTTGGTGAATGTACTGATAATAAAATATACTCCGCCTTACCCTACTCAAGATTCTTTATTTACTCGGCTTTATTTCAGACTGTGTAACATTACCTGATAAGATAAAAACAGCGAAACGTCAGGCCAAAGTAGTGTAATTGGATATTACCCATAACGTTACCAGAAACCGGACCAAGAAAATTTGTGAAAGAGTGGTTAAAGTGGGATCGCCACGGGATCATGACGTTAGTCACCATAGTTAACAGGCGTCAAACTGTTAACAGGTGTCAAACTGTTAACAGGTGTCAAACTGTTAACAGGTGTCAAACTGTTAACAGGTGTCAAGCTGTTAACAGGTGAGAAACTGTTGACAGGTGAGAAACTGTTGACAGGTGAATTATTTCAATAGAAAATGATGCACGAAACTTCGTAACTAGTACTTACAGCCAAGACTACGTTCAAGGCCTGATGCCCAATGTGCTCGTAGGCATGGGAGGACCTTAGCCAAGGTCTTAGCTGTGAAGAGGAAGAAACTAGCCTCCTTCGCAGACTTGTAATTGTGGGCGACACTTTAATTTCTTCGGTGAGCGACACGAGTTATGCGAGGGGAGATTTGCCGCCGAGAGAGTTTGCTGGGAAGAGAGTCTTTCACCGCCCAACAAGTTGGGCGCCCAACGCCGTCCCCCCACAAGTCTGTGAAGGAGACTAACTAAACAAACTGGGAGGATAGCTGGAGAGCCAGGCTAGGTTGCTCGCTGACCTTTGACCCATGTACTCTCACATGGTGTGTGGTGGTGTAGAAGAAGAAAATGGTCACTCTTTAAATCACTGTCCTTGCTCTTATCTAGAGGAACCAACTACAAACACAAGTTCAGCTTTATCGCCTGTCTCTCGAGCTCCATCCCACTCAATTCAGATTTCTTGAGAAAGGCCTCAAAATGTCCGATCGCCGCTTAAGACACTCACGGCGTCGTAAGGAACCTCCCGAGACAGAAGAAGGTAATAAGCGGCGGGCTGATGGGCCACACGACGTCTCTAGTCTGTTGGACGGCGTGTCGGTGGTGCTGCTGGACATAGAAGGGACGACAACTCCTATCACATTTGTTAAGGTGGGTATCAAGGCACCATATCGCTAGTAAAGGGGGAGGGGGGCATTATTTTGGAAAGTAAAACTTGTTACACGTTTTGACACTGAGGCTGCTCTTCTGTTTTCGACCAAAATTACGATTTCTTTTCTGCATGTAAAACCCTCACAACCCATAGATTTCATAGACTACGAAATTAAGAGTATGAACCAACAATTATCAGAAGCAACTTCATAGTAACGTTACATGATATTTGATCAAGGAGATTTTGCAAAATTTTGACAAGCCACTTGTTTTGAAGTAACCATTTTCCTGACAGGATGAGCTGTTCCCGTATGTGCGCTCCCATGTCAGACAACATCTAGAGGAACACTGGCAGGAGGAGGAATGTCAGCAGGATATCACTGCTCTGAAGAAACAGGTAACTGCTTAAGTGCATATGTTACCTGTTCATTGCTAAGTATTTAAAACTTACCTTAATGCCAAACTTTTATCTAACTTTACAATTTACAAGTACAAATTCTAAATCATACCACACTGTGATCTACCACCAGGCAGAGGAGGACAAGGAGATGGATGGTGTAGTATTAATTCCAGAAGACGATGATGATGAGGCCAGGAGAAAGGTGCTCAGTGCTGTTGTGGACAATGTGCTGTGGAACATGGACGCTGATAGGAAGGTCACAGCACTGAAGCAGTTACAAGGTCACATGTGGAGGGCTGCCTATCAAACAGGCAAGATCAAGGGAGAGTACGTAGACTAAACTTTTGTTGGTATGAATTTCGGTATTGTCCTGCTTTGTCTTTATGTCTTCTACAAAGTCTGGGTCTTAACTATTGACTAGTCACACTTGTATGGGAAAAATTCAGAAAATTGCAGATAGCAAATTGTTGAGTGTCTGGCAGGTTTGCCCATAATGTAGTATGTGGTTTCTGATAGATGCATGGCATCAAAGCTCCTTTGAATTTTCCTAGGGTATACCCAGATGTGGTCCCTGCCATCAGACAGTGGTTGGAGACAGGACGGCAGGTCTACATCTACTCCTCAGGCAGTGTGGAGGCACAGAAACTGCTGTTTGGTTTCTCCACAGAGGGAGACCTGCTGGAGGTACAACAAAAATAAGTCACTGCTGAACAGCAATGTTCCACAACTGAAATACAGTTAACTCCACTTGCAACTCAACAACAAATGTCAATATTGTTCATGTGTAATACAGCAGTTACAGGTTGAGGTGTTCATTGTATTGCCTAAGGATGACTCATTTCTATCATGAGTACCATTTGAAGAGTGGTCAGTACAATGGATTACCTGATTGGGTGTTACTAGTAGTACATAAAGGGTGGTACTGGATTCTGTACACACCTATACTAGACTATGACCATTGTTATACTGCATGTACCATGTATTAAGCTTTTTGAGATAAAATATTGACAAGACAAGATAGTGACAGGTTGTTCCATCCCTGTCCCTGCAGCTGTTCAGCGGCCATTTTGACACCACCACAGGTTTGAAGGTGGAGACGGAGAGTTACAGGAGGATAGCCAAAGCTGTTGGCTGTGATCCTGGCAACATTCTCTTCCTCACAGATGTTGTAAGAGGTTAGGATCTGTCATATGTTTACTATGGCAGTGCATTATTGCTATATAGAGTTGAATGTAGATATCAAGGGTGTGTCCATAGCACTTGTCTGTGGAATTTTGTAGAAAGGCAGAAATGCTTTGTCATGACATTTAGCTGGGAAGAGCACCTGACCTAACAGACTGTAGTCACTTGGTGTTTGAACTTTTCCCCTACAGAGGCCAAGCCATCCCGTGAGGCTGGGATGAAGACCTGTCTTACTGTACGACCTGGAAACGCACCTCTCACAGAGGAGGACATGGCAGACTTCCCCGTCATCAAGTCTTTCTCTGAACTGGCAAGTGATGTTAGTCCTAGCAAGAAGAGATCCAGACAGAAAGCTGCAACATAGCCTTGGACTCATAAGCAGCTCTTTGCAAAAAGTAATCAAATGCACATTGGATATGCAAGCTCTTTTAAAAGTTATCTGTCTATTCTACTTAAGTATGAAGATATGATTGGTTTTGAATATCAAAGTGAATAAAGGATAAGAAAGCAATCAGGCTTGGTTTGAAATTTCAGATTTAGCCATCTTTGCTTTCTGCTTTAAGTGTACTACATCATTTTTGTTAAATAAGACAAATCATGCATTGCTTTTCTGGTTAAGTATTTGAGGTAATTCAAGCTTAGATTGTGATGTATTGGATGTTGCATCATATCAAAGCTGCAAAAAAAACTTCCATCTTAAAAGCAAATGCAGCAATTTCATCTACTTTTTAATTTGTATGGAATTGTTCTCTTTATTTAAATATGGAATTATGGAATTGTTCTCTTTATTTAAATTCTACAATACCATGTGGTACACTAGGCAGTTGCTACTGGAAGACGGTTCTAATAAAGCCATCAACCTTCCTGACATTTCCTGTCATTATTGTGGAGATGATTAGTATGCTTGAAAGTGTGATGCTTTAGTTATAATTCTGACCTGATTTACTAGTGGGTGTCAATTGGCCCTATACTACCAACTGCAGAACCACATTTTGGTTACTTCAATGAATGTTTAATCAACTCTCAATACATTCCACGTATCTTATTTTCAAACTACTTGCCATATTGTGATTGTTGTCCTCAAAGCGAAGGTTTATGAAAGTGTACTTCCAGACATAAGATGGTCTGTACCTGCATCCTCTAATCAATTGGGGGTTGTTTGTACGGAAGGCAGAATTCTCCTTTACAACACGAGTCACAGCATATTAAGGAGTAACAGAGTAATGACACGTACACCTGTTTGGGTCTTTGAAACATTTATATAACAAAATCTTTCCAGTTACAGTAGCAGTGGCTGCCATGATCATGCAGTTGAACAGGCGGAAGGCTGAGGGAAGCGAAGGCACACCGAAGTCATTGCCAACCAGCAGGGACAAACGCCACTGTAAATAATTGCTGACTGACCATTCCTGTCTCAACTCAAGATTGGGAATATTGCAATACATGGAGGAAACTATCACGACAGGCATGGGACTAACAGTCTTTACATGGAGGGGGGTGCATGCTTTTTTTATCATGTTGAAATTATGGGTATCATCCATCAGAACATTGAGTAGATCTACTACAATACAGAAATGTTGACACTCAACAGCTTGCCAACTAAGTTTACAGTTTTTCCATACACTGGTGTTGAAAGTAACTCAGTGTCATCAAGTATATTATCAGAACATAGGGACTACCAATCAAGTACTTGGGTTACTGGTTTGGGAAGTCTTCCAATTCCCTTGGCTTCCAAGAAACTGTGAAGTCCCATGCCTGTAGAATTTTGTTTGACATTCTTGGCCTAACTTGGAGATGAAAGGCACAGCCATGGTTGTCAAAACCTTGAAGACCTATCCAAGCCACAACCAACACAGGAACAAACAGAAGAAAAGTGGGCAGAGACACTGTCAACATCGGTTTTGAAAACATGGACCTCCTTTTACTCCATTTCAAAATTCAGGGGGGATGATTCAGACCCTTAAATCTACCATATTTACATTTTTGCACAACCACTCTCTTTTCAACAATCCCCAATTAATCAATCAACTTCCAATAAGTAAATGCACATCCTGTTATGTTTTGATTGTTTTGTCTACAACAACCTGGTCATTTTTCAACCCCTCTGAAACTTTGAAGGTGGAATTGCCCTCAACCGACTGTGCCTCCCATTACTAGACAAAGGGACTGAATGTACTGAAATTTCTGTAAAATACAAAACAGCTTTACATTTGACATCTTAAGAAAAGTTGTTTCTTGACTGTTGTTTCTACTTGTAGGTTTCTGAAACTTTTCATCTTCATATCCAGTATCAGTACAACATGAAATACCATTTGCATTTTTGCTACCTTACATTTGCAAATACTTCCCTCTTACTGGCTAGCAATTGCTTGTGTTCAACATAACAAAGGAGTGAACATATCCAAATGAACAAAAATGAAACAAACTGTAGCTAGTTAAGTATTTGTGAAAAAGAAGTCTTGATACAAGTACTGTCCTGACCACAAAAGCTAGCATACTGGGCATGAGTACAAAGTCATAAATACAGAACATGTTCAAGTGACCAAAGCTATAGTAAATCTGCAACTTTACAATTACGATATACTGATCTCTAAAGGCCCCTATGTTGTTATAGTCATCAATTATCATAGGTTATTTGATTTCTATCTACAAATTAAGCAGGCAATAAAGGCTCCAATACCAGTCCACACATTGCATGGGAAAGGCAGTGCCATTTTTTTGCATATACACCCCCTCATTACATCTGTCTTGGAACATCCCATCCACACCACAGTTATAATTAGCTCACAGCAGCAAACACTATGGCACAGACATACAGGTACACTGAACAAACTCATGCATCTCCCAGCACATGCACACTTGTTTACACACTGCATCCACAGTCTCTACAGGCTTCTTGTATGTTTTTGTCCGAGGCAACAATAGGAGCAATCATGGTGACTAGAAAACAGAGTCATCATTAATTTAGGTGGAATCCCTTTTCCCTTGTTGCAGCTAGGAGTCTCTCTCGTAAAATCTCTTCAGAGGAGTACTCGGGGAGTTTCAGGTAGTGTACGCAGGTGTTGACGGATGGGAAGCTGCCATCGGAGGCGTCCACTTTGCGGACAATGGTGAGGCGAGGGTACAGGTTGGCCAAACCACCGGGGGGGAAGGGAGGAGCAACCTGTGGCAAACTGGAGGAAGGCCTTCCGCTCATCAGCATTCAGGTTGCACATCACATTAACGAACCTTTGGAAACCAGGGCTGTGGACAAAGAAAGAACAGAATCAAGTATTTCCTGTCACGGACCTCACGAAAAAAAAGATGCTTCAACCTTTTTTTACATTACAGTACCACCTGAACATCCAAACATTCATGGTAGCTACAAAAGAGAAGACTGTATACTGTTTTAGTTTGTATTGATAGTTCTTGTACAATGCAACAAAAGAACAGCATGGGTTTGTACCTTTCCCTGGTATATCCTAGCTTGGGTTCTGTGTAGTTCAGGATGTCATCCCTGATCCAGGAGGGTGCCTGGTCCCCACTGATCATCAGCTGCACTTCTGTCGGACTGAAGCCCTGAAGCTTCTCCATGGGGAACACCTCTGAGAAGCCAGCTGAGGGGAAATAAATCATATGTCAGGACTCTATAACTTCTATCTAGCTCATGCAGCATGCAGCTGAGCATTAGGTGCCTCTTTCACACACACACCACATCATACTACACTGACACAACATCAGTGATTAGATTACTCTTCTAAGCAGTCTAATGGTTGCTGGTAAAACATACCTCTGAATGCCTCCAGCTGTTTCCTTACACCAGTGTTCATACAGAAGTCAAACATCACCTCCACATACTCTTCCAAGTTGTCCAGAGAAAGATGCTGTGACAAGACAAACATAAACTGTGTTATCAAACAAGGCTCAAACCTTCTTAGCATGAATAAGATGCTGTAAATAAATCTAAATCCCACTGATTGATGGCTAACAGCAGAGGTCTGTACTTTTACACATGAGATATGAATTACATTATTCTTTTGTTTGTTGGCTCTGCTAGAACTGCTTTTGTTTGTCATAAAAAATGAGGAATACTTTCTTCAATAAAACAAGTGCCTACCTCATCAGAGCCATTGGGTTTCAGGTCCAGGTGGGAGAATCCGTACACCTTAGAGGAGGGTGAGTAGGTGAAGTCCAACCTGTAAAGTAAAACAAAAAACTTTTCATCTACATCTGTCGAGCAACCAGAGAAAACAGCAATTTCTTCATCCTAAAGGCATATAACCAAGGCCCATTCTGGAATACAGCCTCTTCTGGCTGGAGAGTGATTACACTAGTACTTACCCTAGGTCCTCTAACTTGCAAGGTGGTCCTGATCCAATTGGGTTGACCAGGCACAAGTTCTGCAGCTGATTGGACCTGTCATCCTCTGACAGGGAGTTGTCATTCAAGATGGCGCGCTTCTTTGCAGCCAGCTCCTTCAGCTGGTTCAGGAAGCGTGCACGGTGCGGGTTCACCAGCTCAAAGTCCTCCCAATTCAGCAATCCTGTAGACAACAATCAACAAGGAAGTGTTGAACGAATGTAGCAAGAAATAAGTACTTCTTCCAAGCAGACTTCCTGGTGCTACAAAACCCATTCTCTCTTGTCACATGTTGAAAGAAAAGGGTGTGTAAGATAATGAGTAGAAGTAAAATACAGTTTACTTAATAGCTTGAGACAGCCTATGAAAACAGCACTACTAACCTGTAAACCAGGCAGGTGACTTGGGTTTGGGTGGGTCCTGTACCAGATCATACTTGGAGTCGTCATCTGTGATGTAGCCTGTGATAATTTCTGTCCCATCTTCTGTGGATGCCTCTGACTGGGTCTCATTGGAGTGTAGGTCGATTTCTGACATGCTGCGGTGATACTCTGCACAAGTCTCTGTCATGCTATTCTCAGCGTCCCCAACACACATTAACTTCAGGAAGGGGCGTGACAAAGGCAGGTCTACAAGTCGTCCGTCCTGCAAGCTCTTGGCCAGGAAGATGCCCAGGAAGTGGAACATGCAGGCCACGCGTTCTGTTGCCTCTGCATCCTGCTGCAGTGGTGCAGGGAACAGCCCACAGGCACGCTGGACATAGTATCCTGGTGGTTTGGTGCCGTGTCCTATATCCACCTGCAAACAATATAATGGCTTTGAGAAAAGGAAAGCTGACAGATGTGACTTCTTTGCACCAGGTATAAGCTGACACATTCTCAAAAAAATATGATCAGGTCATGGGAATACAATGGGACAACCCATGAAGTCAGAGAGACAGGGCTACACAAAGTCACAAGAACACTCTTCTAACTGGCAGCCATCCAGTAAATTTTAATTATATCAGGCTGAGAGGAAAATTTATTCTCTTCACCTCTCTAGCCTGATCATCAGGGAAGTCATCATCACACAGCCACAGCCCAAGGGACTTCCTCTGCAGCTCAGCAGCTACCAGAGCATAGAACTCCAACGTGGGACCCAGTCCTGTGCCTTCCTCACCAACAAACTCCACCTGAAACACAAATGGGTCATGAATAAGCACTACTTTCTCATTATTGGTCAAACTAATCTGCAGTCAATGCAACAGATGACTTGAAGAAAAACTTCCAGCCAGGTTGTAGAACAGCCATTACCTCCAGAACTGATTTCCTATCAGCATGTATTCTCATGACATTCACCGCCCATTCCATCAGGCTCTCGCCTCTTGGGACCTTGACTCTCTCGTGCTTCAGACGCCCGACCCGGAACTCGTGGTGATCATCGCGCCGTGGTGAGGGTCCACGGGACCTTTCCAGGGCTGCATCCCTCTTGTTCTGTAGCCAAACTATTGCTCTGGAAGGTGAGAGACAAAATCATTCTCAGTACAAGCTATTTTACAGCATTCTCAAATAGTCATTAAAGTTTATTTCTATGATACTGATGCATAGTCAGATTTCTCACCTAGTGAGGTAATGCATGTAAATCTTATGAAGTTTTCCGTGATCAACCAAACAAAATCTGTGACAGAAACACAATTTATTTTAGTTTATGTCATCTCTCAAAGCACAAGAAAGGCAAGTGTGATACCCAGTGGCAGAAAAACTCTTACAAATAAATTCATACCTTGAGCAGCCAAAGGCAGTGCAGTTGAAGTAGAGTTGTCTGGTCTCGAAGGGGAAGATCATGGGGCACTTGTTGGTCAGCTTCTCACACCACTCAGGTAGTGCTGCAGCAGCCAGGCTCAGTGGGTCCTGGTGGAAGGAGGTAGTTAGAAACTAGTTAGACATCTCTCATATAACACTGTGAAATATCTGCATCAGGGATCATATATGTAAAAGGATATCCATAAGTCAAGTGTTGGCAACACAAACCTGAGTTTGTTGAATGACTTTGTTTGTGAGCTTTTTGCTCTGGAACTCCTCTGCCGACACGTTGAAGTGGTGGCTGTCTCCTCCCTCTGTGTCCATGTCTGCAACATCTGATGCAACTGCGTACAGTATCCTGAGTAGCTGAAGGACATCGTCCACTGTACAGGAGGACGGATCCTCCCGGGCATGCGGGGGAGAGAAGTCACCCTCACTGAGAATGTTGCTGGTGTGGACAACTGGCTTGTGCTGTGGTGTTGGAGGCTTGGATTCACCACCGCTGCCAAGAAACTCCTACAGCCATGAAAGACCAGACCCATTTAGCATTATCAACATGGCATGAAAATGAAATCCACATGAACAAGCTACACTGTTTAGAGTATCTCAATACAATTTGCAACAAAGCAGTCTTGTAAAACACACCTTGTATGCTGCCACCAACTGTGCACAGTTTCTGTTCTTCCGGATGCTCTTGGGAGCCCCTGTCAGCTTCCATCTCCTGAGAAACGCGGTGTCTGCGTTCTGCTGAAGGTAGGAAATCAGCTCCGACTTCGGCAGATCGTCTGTGCCCAGCGCTCTCTCCACAAACTCAACAGTCCACCGACCCTGAGGCAAAACAGGAACACATGTCAGCTAGGGCAGACAATCTTGTCCCTTCCTTGTGTTTAAAACAGTGGGAATCCCAACAATAAAGGATAAAGTAATGAATAACAAACTATCATCTATTATAGCAACATCACCCAGCCTTCATATTTTGCTTGTTGTATTAGACATTTATCATCCTTGAGGCTTTACATGAGGCTTTACAAAGAGAAAATGATTTTCGCAAATATTTGTTAGCAACCAAAATTCTGACTCACCCTTTTCTCTACTTCTTCTTCTTCCTTTCTCTCCCTGTACACGATTCTAGAAGAAGGATATCACAAAAAAAGCATGAAATAAAACTTATCTACTCAGCAAGAAATCTTACTCATGTTCGAAAAATTGTGAAATTGCATTGAGATTGCATTAAGAATGGCAATGTGAACAGGCATAGTGTTACGCATACATATATGTAGGTTCCCATATCCTGCGTAGTCTATCAGCCCTGCCACCAGCAGACACTGCGGTGGCCACCATGTGCTGGATGTGGCTGAAGATGGTGGAGGCATCTCCTTCCAGGGTCTGCTCAACTGAGTCCACGAACTGTATTTTCCAGAAACACAGTCAATTATGCCAGGTCTGTATCTTTTTACATTCTTAAAATACAAATATGGTCTACAGTACAAGCAACTATCGCATTACACATGGCATCATTATCAAATGCATCAGAAAAAAAAAAATCTATATCTCACTCCAGCATGTGTGGCAGCTGAGCTTCCTATATTTCCCCTTGATCCAAATCATTCCGTCACAGCAGACTTGTAAATAACGTAAGAGTGTGTTACTCACCCCTGGTGCTTTGAGAGTGAGAACCAGCTGTGGTGTGGGGACAGTCTCCTCCTGCTCAGGTGTAGCTACCTCAGGGTCACCTGAGAGATTCATTACAATCACAGGTTATAAATTGACAAACTTTCAACATCCAAGCAAACCAAAAAAAAAAGTGGAGTGGTCAAATTGTGTTGATCATCGTGTTTATCAGATGACTTTTTTTACGTTAAGACAAAGACAGCCCGCCCCCTTATACTACAGGTTTGAAACTATTGTCTGTTCAGAATCCAAATAACACTTGTCTCACGGGTACTGCTGACCACTCTGGTGTTTTTACCACTACCTGGGGCAGGGATCTCCAAGTCTTGTGTCTGCTGGACATTGGTCCGGCCAGGACGGGGGTCAAAAGCCGGTACAAGAGAAGAGAACTGTCTCTTCAGGACAAACTCATCGTCCCAGGTGCGACGCCGGCCCCCGCGCAGCTCATACTCCTCTTCCTCCTGCTGCAGGCGACGTACAATTCCCATCAAAAGACTGCCACAATGTTGGTAGGCTGACTTCAACTACATGAAACACACCACGCAGAGCTACGGTATCACTTGCTGTTAGGCACGCATGCATGCTGCAACCAAAGGTTAGCTGGGCTGATACATAACTGTCAAAGCTGCAGCCCATATGAAGGTGAACTTACACTAAAACATGTCACAAGACTACAGTTTCAAGCCATGTCGGTTCCATCACAATCAATTCCAAAATGCTTCCATGCAATTCATGACATATTCTCTTTGTGCACATACTGTAATCATTTCTAGCAGTTAATTATAAAACATGTTAGTATTCATTCAAAAATACCACTACAGCCAGGAGACTGGTCTTCAAGACAGTTATGAATATATGATACATACATAAAAATTAATATGTACACAGAATGAGAAATTCTCAATAATGCTACTTGTATCATTTGGCCAGAACAAAGACTTCATGGTGGAAACCAGAAAATGACATCATGACATCAGGGACAGACATCAGCTGAATAACTAAGCACTGACCACAACCTCCTCATACTCCTCTTCTTCCTCATTCTCATCCTCATTCTCATCATCGTCCTCATCAGGCTCAGGGAGATCGTCATCGTCCTCCAGCTCGGCCAGCAGTGTGCTGGCCCGGCAGGTGTCCAGGAAGTCATTATCACTCTCGCTGGACGTGGACGTCAGGCTCATGGTCATGGTGGTGCTGAGGTTAGCTGTGGAGACAACAGTCTTGCCTGTGAATGCTGACAAGGGGGCTGATCTTTTGATAACTTTGGCTAGGTAGGTGAATATACACAATGGCTTATCTAGATGCTCCCCATGTTGTTTATAATCTGGTATGCTAGTCAGGCATTAAGTACAGAATTTTCAGCACTTGTGAGACCTACACGTAAGCTGATATCCCTCCTATCATATGACAGGATGGAGAGTGTGATTTTTGTGAACATCTACTGTCCCACTATGACTCAAATCTTAGAGATAGAGGATTCAAGGAGTTCAAAGTCTAATAATATTTCTCTTACGTCAATGAAGCAAGATTAGTAGATGCACAGATAACTTATTCCTGGAATTAAATCCTTGGACAGTTGTATTCCCAACAAACCACACCTGTCTATCATCCAGATTTAATACTTATGGATTGAGAATCTCTTTCCTCCAGCATGGCTAACAGGAATCCTAGCTTGGGAGGACATTTCAAATCTTTACAAAAGCCCAGACAAGCAGAATAGTAGTCTCTATCAATTTTAGGTACTAAATATGAACAGTTACTGTCTACTTTAGGATACTTAAGGATACGTAAAGATACTTAATAACAGAAGAAGTATACATAAGATACATCACCACAAATTTGTGTCAGTGCAGCTGATTAATGTTACTTGTGAAAAAGGGAGGATTGGGGAAAGTGCATGAGGTAGCTGCAAAAGACTGGATTGCACGACTTGATGTAAGGATAGCAAAACTCAGTTAAACTGGACACTTTGGAACAACACATATGGTGAAGGACAGGGTGCACATTGAGGGAAATGACATTTACACGGGGTAGAGAGCAGAGAAATTTACACGGCACTTAGATCACCACCACAAGGCCACAGCAGGGTTTGTACGAGCACATCTTTGCATTGCTCAAACGTACAATACACCTTCCAACTAATTTCTGTGATCAGATGTCCATGGCAAAATTGTTCTTCTAAGTATTTAAAATTGTGGCTTCAAAATTTCACACAGCTTTACAGAATCCTAGCCAAAGCCATTAGAAAAAGTGACTACCGTCTGTCAGCATCCTGTCAAAGCAAACATCTATCAGCAGTAATGAAGCATCTGTCAGTAACTATGACTTTGAAGTTCTCTGGTGAGTCACACCTTACAGCACAGAGAATTCACCTCTATCATCAAGAACAATCTTATCTTTCAGAACTGTACAAACCCTGCTGAGCACAACATATAAAGATGGGCAGAATCATCCATGTACCTGCCATGGTGGTTGTGTTAGTGGCAGTAGCGTTCGAAGTGCTGGACGTAGTCAGGTTGGGGACACTTTGGGCCGAACTCAGCACATTGTTTGATGCCACTGGAGGAGACGGGGTACATTTGTTGGACTCACACAGCAGAGACTTACGTCAAACTCAAGACCCCTCAAGTGATGTTTTAATTTCGATAAGTTTCTTGCTGCCATTTTTCACACCATGCATCTTGTAGCATGCAGTGGGGAACAACTTAAGAACCCAATGGTTAGTCTAGAAACTCATGAGGGTACTTCGGGGGTTAAGGTACAGACTACTATTGTTTTGAACCTACCAAAAAGTTGCCACATGAAAAAGTTACCAAACATGCATCGTGCAGAACTGAAAAAAAGGACCTTCTACAATGATAAATTATTACTATCTGGTAACACATGCACCTGTGATGAAATGGTTCCATGACTGTTCCAAACAAACCCATCCCCCACACACTACACAAGATCTGTGCTGTTACATCACACTAACCTGACTGAACAGCATTAGATCCAGACAGGCCCAGTCTGACCAGTCCGCTGGCATGGCTGCTGCTGGTGCTGCGGCTCAACAGCATGTTGTTGGTAGCACCAGCGCCAGCCCTTCTCGCGATGGACACAAAGGACTCCATCAGGCTAGCTGCCGTTTCCCGTGCAGACGACAAGTTTGGCACACTCGAGCTCATGCTTCCGGGTGCACTGGAAGGCTGCGGTTCCCCTCGCAGTTTTGCAGGCTCTGGTTTGAAGGTACTTAATGTCCTGGTGGTGGACTCTGACGACATGGCTCCAGATTCCTCTCCAACAGACGACAGAGTCTCTGAACTCATTGCACTCGTTGGACGAGGACTCACGCTACCTGGTCGTGGGTCACATGCCGGGCGCTCCACTGGGTCGGGGAGGGCGGAAATGTCCTCATTGGACGACTCAACAGAGGGTGGAGCCGGTGGCCTGTCACTACTGTGTACCACCACACCTGTCTCTGAGGTAGCCTCCGTCTCCAGGTTCACCACAACAGTCTCGGAGGTTGTGGATGTGGCCCCAGCAGATTCCTCTGAGGACGCTCGTGCTCGAGACTCTCTGCGAGACTTCAGCTCCTCTCTGGCGCTCCTCACCTCATCGTGGTCAGAGTCCCTCCTACTCCGCTCAACCTCTACTCCTCCTGTTGCACCCTCCACCTTCTTACTTTCCAGGTCCTTTTCTCTTTGGTCCCGACGAGTCCTCCCCACGGCACCCTCAGTGGAGACAGACTTGGAATCAGCCTTCTTGGCCGTCATGACTGCGAGCAGGTCAGGGTTGTGGGACGGGGCCAGCTGCAGGTCATACTTGCCCTCAGCACCCATACGGTACGAGTTGGAGCCTCCAGCATCCCAAGTCACGTCCACCCAGCCTGGGGAAATAAGGGTACATTTGAAACAAGGGTACATTTACTGGCAACAAGAGGACCATGGGGATGAAAGCCAAATCAGCTGACATTCTTTATAAAGGCTAGGGATATGAATAGAAATTCTTCTAAAAGTGTTTTATAACACAATCAAATGGGAAGGGGAACACCTGTTTGTGCACATCCTGCAAACCAAGTTAAAAATTTTGAAGTGTGCCACATGTAATGGTTACACATACCATTGTGCAGTTCTCCTGTCACAGTGCCCTCTCCCCCAGGTCCACCATCCTGGTCCCGCCACTTCCAGTCAAGTCCTCGCACCACGCGTGCCCCAACCACCATCTGCCGCAGCACCTGGGAGCGCAGGATACGCCGCTGCTTCCGCAGGTACGCCTCCTGCTCCCGAGCTGCCTTACCTGCAGAACATCACATGTAGCATACTGTAACTACTGCCTGCTTTAAATACAGACTTAAAGTCACAACATCCCTAACATTACCATACTAGGAAACAAATGATTCACTATGATAAGAATCTGAGAACACACAGCCATACCTATGTCATCACAAGCCCCAGTCACGACCCCGTACAGCTCAAAGCCTGACAGGGAAAGGTAGTGGGTCTGGCCGCTTGCATTCTTGCCTGTCTGCTGGAGACGAATATGCCGCCATCCCTGCTTCTCATCTTTGGGGGATTCTATGGGCCAAGAAGCTGTGGACCTGCACAAAGAAACAGATGATGGGTCACAGAGAGTCTTACTCTACAATGCATGACACTGGATTTGTTTTGGCGTTGGTTCTCGTTGATGGACTTAACAAAACTAAGAACATGGATTTCTGTGCTGAATATGAAGATTTCAAAATAAAATGCTTCTCATTAAACTGCACTCTTTAACATTTTAAAAATAAATTACACCATTGTGAAGCTGACAATACTTAACTCTTAGCAAAATAACAAAGGATAAAGGATCAAAATCCCAGCTCATACTCACCCTGGTTCATTTAGCGAGCTGTCGTCCGTGTGGTTGAACAAGGTGACCCAGTTCTGGCCGTCCTTAGACACCTGGAACTGCCAGTTCCTCAGCGCTGACCTGCCGTACCCACGGGCGTGGCGGAGGGTGTAGCCTGTGGGGATCACCCACACACCCAGGTCGATGGCAAACCAGGCTTTCCTGTCACAACACAGTAACACATCAGCTGACAGTCAAACATTCTAATTCCAAGACTGTATTTGGCCATGTCAAAGATGGCCATGAAATTCATCATTTTCAGTTTAGATTTAAGGTCAGCATGCTTAGATAAAAACATTTAAACTGCAGACACAGAAAGTTCATTGTATTGCTTTCAAGACAGTTTGACTCAAGCACCACCACTGGAACGTACTTGTCATCATTGGTATGACAGTTGAGGGCAGAGGAGTCCCGGCTCAGAATGTCCTCCAGTCGACCATAGGGCAGGTTCTTCCCTTCTGATGATGTCACCACCACCAGGCCATACTGGGCTGGGTTCACCCACTCAAACGCTGTCCTGTGAAGATACAGTTAAGAAGGTGTTACTATAATAAAATGTTTCATGAACAAGCTAAGCAAAAGTAGCAATCAACATCCCCATCCCCCCATTACTTCACAGAAGAAGTCATTACTTACTTTCCATTGGTTCCAATCCAGTATATGATGCCATTCTCATCAAAATCTTTCACATGTTTGAATGTGAACGTCTGCCCCTCCTTCAGCCGTCTGATGTAAGAGAAAGTGCTGCGGTCGTAGTCATACCATTGTTTGGCAACCTGAAAATCCAACATACAGTTGTCAACATGGCAAATTAGGAAACTTTTCAACAAAAAATTATGGGTCTGTTTGGGAAAGCTTGTGCCTTCAGACGAAGCATCTACATCATAGTTTCACCCTCTTTCAGGAACAATTTCAATAAGTTGCATTTCTTTACTTTTTTTTTCCTCCAATCTGTATTCTTTTTATTTTCTCTCATCCAGTTTCCCTGGTCTCTCATACATACCATTTTAAGCAGATATCTTTCCAGTGCTCCTATGGTGGCCAGGGGCTCCATCTTCAAGGTGCGCCCTGTCCTGTCGATGAGCGAAGTCTCCCCATTGGCCCGCTCCAGGCGGAACCGGAGACGTCTTGTCAAGATCTGTGGAACACAATGTCATTCTCTTATGGTATCAAATTTGTAACATCCAGAAATACATCTTTTACCAGGACTCTAAGTCAGTGGTAATTTCAGCGTAACTGCCTTCCAGAATATGAACTACATGAAAGGAAATACACAATATGATTCCTCAACAGTAGAAATCAATGAAGCTATTTCTGTCTCGGGCAAAAGAACAGTGTCCTACCTGAAGACCTGTTCCTGACCCAGGTCCATCATGTACAAATAAGGGCAGCCTCTCGATGGACTCCAGAACAGACACCAGTTTCCTCACCAGGGCCACAGATGGGGTCACACCGCTGTCAACAAGGTACACAGAGAGTTAGGGAGTGGAACTAACACCTTTCCACAATCTGCAGGTATTTTCTTCTTTCTTTGCCAATCTTTTTTTAACTTCAAGACTTGTGTAAAATGCTGCTTGCTTTGCTGCTTGCTATTTACTGACCTAAATAAGCCAACTCACCTGTCCTCTACGTTGTCCCTGAATGCAGCTTTGAACACCTTGATTCTGGAAGCAACTCTGTTGCTGTCAACATCAACATTCTGCAAGGAAAAATGAAGAGGGTGATTATGTTGTCTCCTTCCTGACTTATATCAAACTGTCAACAACTTCAAATTCGCATGTTTCAAACAATCCCCATTGATCTTTAGACTGTTTTAGTTTTATGTGTTGCTGTACAAAGGTACCCTGCTCTAGCAGGTGATCATTAGTAAGAGCTCACATTGTTGAGGCAGTTGAGCAGTGCCTGCACCAGCCCACTGCTGTGGAGTTCAAATGCTGAGATGGTGGCCTCGTCCTTCAGCAGCAGGGTCAGGCACTCAAGGGCAGTTTTCATCTGGTCTTCCCAGCCAAGCTCTCCTTCCTGCACCTACACACACACAAACAGTCATCTCACACAGAAAACAGGTACTTCATATAAAACTGTTAACAGTAACTCAGCTACTTGCTACATTTACTCAACCTCATATATAAATCTTTTAATACGTATTATTTCGTTACTGGCAGTGTGAATATGATATGTCATAAAATGATATTTTAGTCTGGAACAGCTGCTATCCCTTTATTAAAATCATCTCTCAGTTATGATTGGTAAAACTGTTGGTTTAACAACTGACATACAGTATGATGCTACACTACCAAGCAAGTATCAGTATTGTGTTCTGCCTGTACCTTGTTCCCTTTGCCATGAGCTTCACATGCTGTCTCTAGCTGTGCCACGATGCTGCGTAGCTTGGACACCACGCCCCTCGGGGTCGCCTGTGCTGCCTTGAAGTGCTGCTCATACAGCTCCCGGGCCAGACACTTGATCTTCTGTTTGGTCTGCTCAGCCTTGGACTTGAACCTATGGCTCTTCTTTCCACCCCAACCTGCAGAGAACTCGGGACCTGTATAGATGAAACATGACTTTTGCAACATAACGCCCAACCAAATCCACTGGGTACTTCCACTGACGAAGTTCAGTAGGAACATTTTTGTGTTTGGCAAGATGCTAGATACTACACAACTACCCAATAATACAGAAAATACAGAGTATTTGCACAGAGTATGCGAATGATTCTGGTATCATTCCTATTACCTATCATGTCATAGAGGACTTACCGAGAGATGTTTCTGCTGTGAAGGAGTGTTTTGTTCCCCTGTTAGATTCAAACACAAAGCCTGGAAGGTCTTCCTTCAACACAGTAGCCTGCTGTCCATCAGAGTTGTGGACGGAGATCTCCCCTTCCTTGCGACACTGCAGTGACCAATTTCCCACCACAATTTTGGTTGGCCCAGCTTTGGACAGAATGGGAAGACTGGGTGTGCCGGGTTTCACCCCACTGCGAGCCCTCTGCAGCTTCTCCAGAAATTCTCCACGACTCTCTGGAAAACCAAAACAACCAGTCAACCCTGATTCAAGGAAGATAAATGCAATAGAGATGACAGACAAAACTAACAATTTCATTTTCAACAATGAATCATATTTACCTGAACTATCTGAGCCACCTTCAGGGCTACCACTGGAATACATGGTGGCAAGTTTGCCATCCAGGATAAAACGGAACCAGCCGTTGCTACCATTGGACAGTTCCAGGGCCGCTGCATCGCTCCACACGTACAGACAGTCGCGGCCGCGCACCAGGCACCAGTCTCGCCAGTGGTACGGCTTCCCCTGCACAATCTCTGTCACATCCTGTTGGCCTTCTAACCTCTCAGGCTGAAGGAAGGAAACAATATTTTCCTCAGGCACTTGGGGTAAAGAGGTGGCTGACACAGCAGGCTACAGGGGGACAAAAATACATCAACATACAGAAGTGCTGCCTCAACCAGTCAGCTCAGCTTTAGAAAGAAGCAGAAATGTTTGCATTCCTTGTTAAGTAGTTTCATAAAAGCAGCTGCTCAGAAAGAATGAGGAAAGGAAAAAGAATGATATTTACCTTGCCTCCCTTTGCACCTTCCTCTTCCTCTATTTCCTCTTCAGAGTCCTCATCAGGAGGCCCAGCGAGGGAGCACACCTTGCTGACCACACCCAGCCTGGCAAAGTGATCCAGGTACAGCTCAGCTCCCTTCTTCATCAGGTCATTCACAATCTGTAGTGCTGTCAGGTGGCCATCATCATCATCCTGAGCAAAGAAAGGGTAAGGTACTGGACTTTAACAAGACCTGTACTTGATGTAATAAATCAAAAAGATGTAATTTCGATAGGATAAACCTTTTATTGGTATGCTCTGATAAGAGCACTGAGGCTACAACAAGTAAAGTTTCTTTTCATTCATATCAGACAGTAGAAAGACGGAGTACATCGAAATGTACCTCCTGTTCAAGTACCATTGCCAACACATCGACCAGCAGGGAGGCGAAGGTAGGGCCTGTCTGTTCACTGGTGCTCATCTCCTCCAGCAGGGAGGGGCAGATGTAGTGTACCATCTTACGCAGCAGGGCCAGGGAGGCTTTCCTGTAAGCCAACACAAAAGGTGTGCTATTAACCAACACCCTTGCACAAAGTTTCTGTCCTACCAAAAAGAGTCAACCACATTTGGAAATGTACATGAATAGTAGATGGCCTTGTCTGGTCAACAACGCCCAGCATATTTTTTACAAACAAATTGATATAACTAGATTATGCATGTCAAAGATTAGACAACATTTTCAAATCAGCCTGCATACCTGACAGATGGCATCATGGTTTGTTGATAGGCTGCTGCAAACACAGGGAGGAGTCTCTTCAGGTAGATGGGTGCCATCTCAGGGTCTCCCTTGGGCTCCACCCCGTCCTGTGGTTCTACTGGCTCCTCCCTGGGGCTGCTGGGTTCTGAGGACACTGGGCACATCCACTCCCCGGGGGACTGCAGGATCTGTACCACCTGCCGATGGCCTTCATCGTTCCTCTCACGTGCCTTATCCAGCGGTGTCTTACCATCCTCGTCTCTCAGGTCAGGGTTAGCACCATATCTCAGCAAGGTCTACAAGAAAGAAAGATATCCCTTGAATCTGGTCCATATCATCAGATACAGTTATCTTCCATGATTTACAATATAGGATACCTGCAATCAGATGTTTATACCACAGAACATTAACTTGTATTGAAATTGAAGTTTATTGAAGTTTATTTCATACTACAGCCTTATAGCAGCCTAAAGGCTGAATTGACAGGTCTGTTTACATACAGTGTATATACAATAAATAATTACATTAAAGATGTCTAAGTGTGCTTAATAAGACGCATTAAAATTTAATAAAAGCCTATAGATATTTAAAAAGTTTGTAAGCGATATATACATATGAGGAAATTAACTATTTTGTAGAATGCTAAGCGAGTAATGAAAAAGTCGTGAGTTACAACAAAAGGTTCACGGGTAGGCATAAAATAGTCGGTTAACAGGGATCATTGTAAGAATAAAATCTACATGTAACAGCTGGTAAAGTTACCTTGGCAACCTGTGGTCTTCCAAAACAGGCGGCGTAGTGTAGGGAGGATGACCTCTGCCCCCTGTTGACATCTGCCCCCCTCTCACACAGGAACTCCACCATCTCCTGAGTGCCGAAGGCAGAGGCCCAGTTCAGCAGGGTCTGGCCAACATCGTCCATGAAGTTCACCTCAAATGCTGCAAGGGCAAAAGTATTATTAGTGTTCTCAACAGTAACAGAAAGAGTACAGATAGAATAGATGTGTGGAAAATGCATGCCAAATATACCATAGTAAGTGAGCAATAGGAACAACTATACTAGAGTCTACATATTGTAAGAACAAAGCAAGATTCCAGAAGATATGGGAAAGTTCTAAAATACATGAATCATTAAGGGAAACAACAACAAAAAACAGTATATTTGCATGCAGACTAAGTTATACAGCTAGTGCTGTTTTAACATTTTTCTCATGTTTAGTGAGTGTTTTTCACAGCAACTGAAGATAACCAAACTTACTACCGGTATCCACGGCGTCAATGAGAGCGTCTGTGTCCTTGCTGCGGATACAGTCGATGAGCTGGCGGTGAGAGCGTTCCCCAGCGCTGTCCATCCTGCGCAGGCCAGGCAGCCTGCTCACACTGCTGATGCCTGTCTTAGGGAGGGCTTTCCTCCCCTCAAACACAAGCACCAACAGAAGGTCTACCAGCCGCATGGTGTCCAGCACACATCTGGGGAAGGTGGGCAGTCACAGTATTGAGAATAGAAGACAGTCAAGAATACAGATCATTATGTACCTGTAGACTTATACATATTACTGTACAAACATACATGTTGAGAATGTAACCTGAATGGGTTGTTTTAGATGCAGCAATTATTTTACTACATTTAGTTATATCCATGTTCTTTTACTACATTACCCTTTCTAATGACCTCAACATCATCACAGCAGCAAACAATATATACCACACGTTTTCAGAGAGTTATTATTCCACATTATATCAACCAATGAAATACTGCAAGCACAGATATGAACTGCATTGGAGAGCTATATCCACTTACCTTTCATCTCCTGAAAGAGCTTTCTCTATGGCTTCTGGCAGCTCAGATCTCAGCAAATCCTGGGTGAAAATTCATACATACATATTAATTTTGACCTGTGGATACAACCACATAACTATGAATTGATGTAGAAGAATAATGTGGAAGGCCTTTCCTTGACTAAAACAAGATAACCTTGAACTGTCTGTAGTAGATAGAAGGTAAATTTTTTACCTTTGTGATGCCCTCTGATCCTCTGCAAAGTGTGGATAGTAAGCTGATAATAGTGGAGACATTGGCACTAGATTTTGTGGACTCGGGCGTGGCACCAACTGCACCTGGGGTTCCACCTGGTGTACCTGCCTGGGCACCTGTCAGCTGACCTGATGCACGGCCCTATAAGGAATAGTCCACCATGAATTACATAACATGTGTTACTGGGCCTGCTGTTCTATTTTGTTTCACTTACTTACATAACAATTCAGTCACATCAAGTTGTATTGCACAGATCTTGTACTGATCTTGATCTAGTACATTCCGGTTACAAGCCTTCAAATTGCTATAAATTTCCTTCATATCCTACAATCACAGCGACATCATCCCCACACCTGATTGGCTAGTCTGCTGAGGAGCTCGGAGGTCAGCCCGTGCTCGGCCAGTGGGGCTGGGTCCATCCCACGCCGGGTGAACCTGTCGGCCAGCGAGGCAAAACAACGCAAGGCTCCGTCTGCAACCTGGGAGGAAAACACACACATGTACAGATATTACAGTCACCAGGTAACATGTACATGTTCTTTGAAAATGCTACACCTCAAGAGAGAATAATTGATAATGACAGATAATAGAGCTAGTGTATCAGATAATAGAGCTATTGTATCTTAATCCCAGCTATACACTATTGTACCATAATAACAACAGTAAGACACTGGCAAGTTGGGTATACATGAATCTTGATGAGTAAAACATATATTGAGTTGTCATACCTGTGGGTCTTCATGTCTGAGCAGCGTGGAGAGTGACTCCACACAGGTGGGAAGTGATGTGTCCTGGGGCTCCATCTTCCCACACAGCCGGGACACCACTGCCATGGCGGAGTGCAGGGTGTCTTTGTGCACCAGGGAGCCATTGTCACGGATAAACGTCAGCACACAGTTCAGACCTCCTGCTTCAAACACAGCTCCGGATTCCCGTGTACACATCAGCTCCAGCACCTGAGTGAGATAAAGACATCTGAGTCAACCGGAGTTCTGATAATCACTGCAGTCAAAATTCCCATACACACTGCCCACTGAAAATCAGAAAGTTACCCTCCTTACAATTATTTCAATTGGCTGGTACCCTGGGCTGGTACCATGCACTAACACAGTAGAATACACTAAGTAAATAATTAGAAGTACTGTTTGACAAAACTTCTACCATTTGTCTTGTTTATACTGAGCCCTTGACCATCTGCCTACCTTCACACATTGTTCTGCCAGGTCCTTACTGGTCCTAGAGGACAGCTCCACTACCACCAGCCTGTTACAGATGGCCTTCACTGCACCGTCCACTGCCACGATGCGCCGGGTACACTCCGCAGACACATCCAGGTAGTAGGTCAGGGCGCGGGCAGTCACCTCCAGAACGTTATCAGGGGCACACTCATCCAGGAAGATCTTACACAGGGCTGGGATGAAGGACCGGGGAGGGCAGCTGAAAGGGAAAGTGATACTCATTAAGAGCTCTGTAACAATATTCATCAAAGTGTAACACTGGTGACAGAATGGTTAGAAAATTGTCAAGATGACTTTAGATTTGCATAGTATAAAATTTATGACAAGCTTTTTCTTGAACAGAAATAAAAACACTTTGGACATGAGAGGAAGATAAGTAACATTTGGAAGTGACCTGAAATGTAATTACCCAGACAAGGTAATAACTCTGTCATCCTAATGAATGGCCTCTTAAGTCTTATAAAAGCAGGCTAAAACCTGACACTACATAAGACTGAGTGAGCCATTACATAAGTGCAACATATACCATTGCTGCAGCTTATATCATCCTCAGTATTACTACACATGGGTCAATTATATTTTCTATTACCCTGGCGGCCTGAGTGATCTTATGGCACATTCTAGCCCAGTTATATAAGCATGTTATGACTTGAACTTAACTTATATAACGTGAACTAAAAAAAGTTCAACACATTATTCAATTGATTCTGATATTATTTATATAATTATATTCTGTCTCTTTTCCTTCGTCATTGACTAAAATAATTGCAAAATCATAGTCAGGGTGGCTTCTAGTCCCAAAAAATAAGAATCCTGCAATACTATACTGTAAGGTGTTACAATAAACTGCATGTTCCTGCCCATGCTGATGTTTTTTTATTACAATATTTTGGCCAAATATTGCACTGCCCGTGGCAAATACACAAAAAGCAATAGAACTCACTCACTCACTGTGCGGTTTATTGTTTATGAACATTCAACACTCCTGAGGGCTTCTGTCACAGCCTGGTTAACAATTCTATGAGTATGACATGAAAATAGTATGATGACCTATGATGAATGTAACCGTGCCATAACCAGGTCCTACATGTAACACCAGTAAATCAATTGCCTCATTTCAAGCCTAACCTAAACTAGAGCACTACTTTCAAAATACCAAATGGCCTCAAGTATTAGATAATACTGATTTAGAGTTTGTAGAATTTTATATTTGAGGACAAGTGAAGACAGGAATATGATCATGATCCACAAACCAACAAAGCCATGGTTGATCTACAAATATAACGCAATTAAAAATAACCCACTTTGTTCTGATAGATTGTCTGGGTAATCCAAGTTGAACAATTGTGTAACTCCCTTACAAGCAGAAGACTTTGAACACTTTATTTGGACTAACAATAACATGCTCATTAAAACATTCAATCAAAGGAAAGCTGGAAATTCTGGATTAATACTAAACCTCACCTAAAATGGGTTAGCAATAACTGGCTCTATCCAATTCCAAACATCATCATTATAAACTATAGTTTATAAATACTCCGTTCTGCTAGCAAAAATATATCCTTTGTCAACAACATTCACCCATGTTCACACTTGGGCCTCTCATCCATTTCTGTGTCACTTGGTCCATGGGTTTCATGTCTTACTGTATATGGTGTGTGGTTGTGCCAATTCCCACAGGTCTGCCTTGTGTCCATATACAGGCATGTGCTTCATGTTCCAAGTTACTAGCTCCTGCCTGGCAAATACAATGTAGTCTAAAATTGAAAAATGAATCAGAGCTAAATCAATGTAAGCATTATGTCGAGTACATTTAGAGTTGATACTTTATTATACTATGAAGTCCTTTTTCCTTTACGTGAGGTAGGCTGTGTTTTAAAGATAATTTTAACTAAAAAAGACACTATCTACCCAAGTTTTTCCACTGGCTCAGACTCAGTCTTTGACCAAAGTGTTAACTGTTAACTGTAAATAACTATAGAAAGACCTTCATGAGAAATGACGCTGACCAAAGGACACAAATGTTTGGGATGACTGGGACAGTTCATGTTTCACAACATTACACCACCCAATAATAAAACACAAGTCATCCAATCTGTACATGCTCTTACTAAAATAATATTTACTACAAGGCAAGTATAACCTTCTATTTGGAAAGACAAGCAAAGATGTTTTTGCATGTTCTTAAAATGATAACTATATTAACAGCATTCAACACAAATGGGGGAAAGTCTGACTTGCCAGAACAAATGATACAACAACCTAGCCAACAGTTATAATTATTTCAGACATCAGGGTACAATTTTTGAAATAAGAAGCTGTAATATTGACTATTCACCTTTTGTTGTGGTGGCAACCAATTTGTTTGGCAGGTAATTTTCTGTTCATTACTCGCCCTTGTGCCAAACTCCCTCTTACCATTGATGTACCCATCACCAGGACTGTCATTACATAGCACAGGTGGCCATCACCGAGAATTAACAACTCTACAGCTGGAGGGCATGAACATTACAGTTTACTGTTCTCTTAATAAAAGACTAAGAGCTGAGCAAACAGAGGCTGGCAATGACTAATGACTAACACGACCCAGAATACTGCTGTACATGGTATATGGGGGATGTGTCTGGTAAATGACTTGGCTAATCATGCAACTTGAAAAGCACAGTTTTGCCTTTCTGGTACAATTCTTAAAGATCACAGGCTTACATATACATGACCAGTTCTTAGTTCTTCTGATCAATTTTTCTGGTCTGTTTATTGCCTGAGGACCTTCTATGGTCCACCTCTCCCTGCCATGACCTGCCTGTTGACCAAGGCTACGATAACCTAAAAATATGGCCATCACACCGGGAGATTGATACAGCTAGTTTAGCTACAAAGTTCTACAAATGAGACTTTTCCAATGCATTATCATACTAGGCATCTGACTGTAGGCAACCTTGCCATTAGTGATGCAATAATGACAGGAGGCCAGCTGACACAGGCTGGCATTTCCATGGGTCATGATGATGTAACAATAAGCCAACATACAAACAACCAACAGACTGTAGGCTGACACTGTCTGCAGTGTATGTTCGGTGTACCCTCATCATCTTGCCATAACTTAAAGTCTTTGGTTTAATTCATTCCACAACAGACGAAATCAACTGTTTTTCCTAATTCTGTACAATTCAATAGTCATAAACATAATGATCAAATTTCCCTGTTTAAACTGAATTAATGACAATACACCTTTTGTTAGAGAAGTGAAAGATAACATCATGGAAGAATAATGATTTGAATTTTTGATAGAATTCAGTCAAAAACTAACATATCATATATAAATATAAGTAAATGAAATTGGAAAGAGCTTTCCTCTACAGGATGTTGGTATTATTAAGGGCCCAGAGTTGAAAGTTCAACTGGCTATCCTTCTTATCAGGCCATATAACTGGCATTGCACAATACATTTCTCTGAAGTTGTCAACAACTACTGCATCATACAGACAGGATTGCTTGCCAGGAAGCAAATGGGTAAATGAAGCTTATGTAATCCAAACACTGAAAAAGAGGAACAAGGGTAGCTACTAGCTAGTACCCTTACAGAGAAGGAAAAAGAAACTGGAATAACTCAAAGAAACATCCTTGGTTATACAATGCAGCAATGGCATACATATGGCACTTTTATTTGCTGCCTTTTAAAACTCAAACCTTGTTTTTCCATTGGTAATATTCAAAGTATACTTATATTGAATGCATACAAATCACTGACAAAACAACAGTTTAAAACAACACACCTTACTACTTTCATGTCAAATTTACAACTCATTTAACAACACTCATGATAAAAACAACTGTCACACAATAACATGAATATGTGGTTTCCTGTTTCTCGACAAATAACATATGTATGGAGGTCAGGAGTTTGTATTTTCCTTCTGGGTGTCACTGCACTTGGCTGTTTATGACTCATGCACCAAAACAGGATGCAACTCACACTGTCAGAAGACAGTCACAATGTCAGGCAATCAGAGTTTGACTAACCGTGTCTGGTGGACATGTTTATACTTCCTTATGGCATTTTGCTAAACAAACATTTCTTACATTAATTTAATGTGTCCCTTTACCCAAGAATTCAAATTCACATTGAACTCAGAAACATAATTTTGGTCTGGGTATTTGATTATTGTGGACATGTAAATAATTTGCCAGTGAAATTTCCTAATATATATCCACATTATCAAGTAAAAGTTAAGTTTTGTCAGGAATAAAGACGGCCAGAAGCAGGTGGACGGGTTCCCTCACGTGGCCTCATTGTTCCGTTGTTCCGAGCCCACAGCTGACACTGTAGCCCTTTGTTGTCTTTCCAAAACTGACGACACAAACCCTTACTTTCAATCGGTTTAAAATTATGGGTCCAAATCGTGGATATCATAAATAGATAAATATCTTTGATACAGCTATTCTTCTTCTACGTTCACGTAGTATTGTTTTCGGTTCCTTTTTCCATAACGATGACTTGGACAAACGGAAAGTGGGAATTCCCGTTCGTCACTGGAGACTGTCTCGTGTGGTTGACTACATACACAACTCGGCATCTGGCAAAAAAATGTGTGATATGCACAAAAATGATTCCTTACCTTTCGAAGCACCTGTCCACGTTGTCTGACATGAGCAGCAGCATACAGAGCTGTTCCAGAGCGATAAGCTGCATGTCCCTCTCATCTCCCTGGCCCATCGACAGCCACTCCAACAGTGTCTCGGGGTCCACGTCCGCCATCTTGGGTTTATGGCCGACCGTCTGCTCCGATGGTTATGATACACTGTAGGCACTGCTGATCGGGGAAACGCGGCCTACTGACAGCGATAGTCGATATTTTTACAGCATATGAAATGGTAGACGACTGTACCGAGACTCAGGTGAAAATGTGAGTCGTTTCCGGTCTTCTTCGGGAACGTTTACCAGGCTTGCATCACAGATGACCCTTGGCCCAGGCTGCCTATATACACCCAGTATCCTGCTAGAAGCAGCCCAAAGTCTTCGTCATAAAAACATTTCCGCCGTTTCAATTGGAAGCTATCTCTGTAGAAAATGGTCTTCAGCTGATCTTGGCGTTTTTAAAGTCCCGTCTGGACTCTCAACTGGCTGGATTTGTTTACGAAGGACAGGTTTTGTTGTCCTCCAAATAGCGGCTGCTGTCAATACCAGCCAGCCTCGTTCTGATGTCACCTACGCGAATGAGTGACCCGGGGTCAAATAGCCGATTACGTCATCCTAAATACAGCGCCATCTAGCGGTTATGTAGTGTGGTGTATCAACAAATCCTGATGCGAGAGCCCAGAGAAGCCGTATAGGGTAGAGGTTATACGGCTTCTGTTACTGGTGCCTGCGTCAAAGGCAGATTCAGATACAAGCTTATCGACGCAAAAAAAATCGACAGCACTCTAAAAAACATCACTTTAATGGGATCGCCCTGCTTATCACTGCACGTATGTTTAGACCAAAACCCCGCTCTCGATAATGATAAGAGCCGGTTGCCTTTAAATACCGTATTACCTTGTGATCAAGGAGAACTGGGACATGACCGTCTTGACCCTCCTTGTTGTGCTTGTATCAACACCCATTTAAAGCAGCTGGAAGGGCAAGGATAGTCCATATATACACCTCCCCTTTTGTTCAACTCGAACAAAGTCACTGATGTACAAAACATTGCCACCCTTGCCACGGGTGTCTAACGTCAGCCTTTATATCAAACAAAAATGATGCATCAATTGTCGTGTGTAGGGAAATTTCCGCGGTGCCGGAGTTGAATTCGAAGTTCAAAAGTGCACTGCAGTAATTCCACTCCCCGCGTAGTGAGTCGAAATTCAAGTCCGCAATACTAGTAACTTGACAGGTTAGAGAAGCGCAGTGCAACGTTGCATGTCAAATCATGTGGTGAAATAAAAAAAATCAGTCGGGAATAGTACAGGTGCCAAAACTTAACTATGACAGAAACTTGGATGACTTGGATGACTTTTTTTACTTGGATGACATAAGTCATCCTCTCGATTTTAAGAAATGATAACTGCATAAAGTTAAGTACACGAGAGAATGAAAGGGGAGTACTGGTAATCGCCTCCAAGCCTGCATGGCTCTGGCCTGTTTTACATTGTGACATTTTTGTTTGCTTCCTGCCTACGCGCGCGTTTTTCTCTGTGAGCGACCAAAGACGTGAAGACAAGACGGAGCCACACATCCGCATGGAGACTGATTTGAACCACCTGGTTGATTGCATACTGATGGGACGACAGCAAATAGATTTCTCTATCGATAGGGTAGTTTGGGTTGTAACTAATTGTCAATAAACCATTGTTGAACTACGCCGCTTAGGCTAAAGAACATTTTCACTAACAAATGTATTTTCAATCAGAGTAGCCCCCGAGGGCCGCATTATTCCTCAAGTTGACTTAGCAGATCTGTGCCTTTGTCTGGAAGCAAAGGAGCGACATTCCGGTGTGACGATATGAAACCTGAGTGATGTCACCACCGCACTGGTAAAACCTGTTCCAGCAACTTGGAAGATGGCGAACATACAGCAGTACGAATCAAAGTTTAGGCAACAGATGCGAGAGGAATTCCTCTCTTGTAGCATCTGCACGGATACTTTCAAGACACCGAAAGTTCTGCCCTGCCAGCATACGTTTTGTGTGACGTGCCTTCGAGATTGGGCCGAAACGCGCAAGCCCTTTCAATGCCCGATGTGTCGTGTGTCCGTGGCCCTGCCAGTTCAGGGCGTCTCCGGCTTTCAGGACAACCGACTTGTGGCCGAGCTATGTGAGCAGTTCTCGGACAAACTGTCCACCAGTCCACCGAAGGCTGAACAACGAAACAAGGGCAAATGTTACTTCCACCCAGGGCAAGACATAGCTCTTTTCTGTCAGCAGTGCAAGATGCCAGCTTGCAACCACTGCGTCAACGAGAGGCACACAGGCCACACGTTTTGGAACGTGGAAGAAGGGGCGTTCCAAAGAAAGGATGTGTTCGCGGCCTTGATCACCGACAGCCACCGATTCCGCGAGACGATCGTTGGAAAACTCCAGCACCTGGAGCACGGAGAGAAGAGGCTCAACCAGCAGAAGAAGGAGGCTGACGAGGGTGTCGCAAGGGTTGTGGATGACGCTATAGCGCAGCTGCGCAACTCCGAAAAGGCCCTGCTGTCTGAGATCGACGAGAACTACCGCCAGAACCTTGGTCCCATCAAACAGAAGCACAATGCACTACTGGCGCAAGTTGCTGAGCTCACAGAAGCAAGCGACGCTGCACGGCTGTCCCTGAGTCAGGGAGGTCGCGAGGCCCTGGGGCAAGAGGCGGCACTGCACAAAATGCTATCAAGGTACCGAAGCGACCCAGGGTCGCAGCTGGCTCCCATCCAAGCACAGGTTGTCACCTTCCAGTCAGCTACTGTCGACCTCCGCAATCAAAAATTGGGCAACCTTAGTCTGCAGTCATTCACCCTCACCCCACAGACCGGGGGATATCAGCCGCCCTTAAGCCCGGGACTTGGTAGCCCAACAAGCCCAGGACCGGGTAGCCCAACAAGCTCAAATCCTAAACTAACCATCCCTGGAATAGCTTCAACAGGTGTAGCTGTTTCTCACGCTCGTAATAACGAGGTGTACATCACCGACAAGAGGAATTGCCGGATCCTGGTCTACAACTTACAGGGCGCCCATCTCCGGCATTTCACCACCTCTGTGCCGGGTGCAGCCGGTATGGAGGTGATGGGCCCAGACGATGTCGAGGAGGGGGAGACAGGGAACCTGTGGGTGGTGGGAGTCATCGACAAGACACGCGACCAACTTGCCGTGCAGTACGCTAAAGACTGCAGCTTCATCAGCAAGATAGACCTGAAGCTGAAATATCCATCTTCGGGCCTTGGCATAGCCGTGAACAGGAAAAAGAACTACATTGTCCTGCCGTACGACGCCAGTCGGGACGCCGTCAACATCTGTAAGCCCAGTGGTTCTGCTGTTCGACACGTCGGTGGCGGGAAACACGGCTTAAAACATGCCAGAGGGTTCGCTGTGAACACCGACGGGAGTGTCTACATCTGTGATGATGAATCCCACAGCATCTTCGTGTATGACGGGAAGGGGAAGTTTCTGTTCAAGTTCGGGAGTTACGGCAGCGGTGACGGTCAGATGAACCAGCCCAGCGGCGTGTGTACCGACACCTCCGGCAACGTGGTCGTGGCAGACACGGGGAACCGCCGTGTGGAGTTGTTTGACGCCAAAGGGACATTTCTCCGTCACATCATCGCCAACATGAACGCTCCCGTCGCAGTGGCTGTGGGTCAGCATGGGCAACTGGTCATCAGCGACCTTGGACACAACGCTATATCTGTTTTCGACCGGTATTAACACTCCGTATTCAACTTGTCGCCAAGGCGCCGGTGGTAGAGGCTATGTCATAAAACGAAGCAAAAGGATCGTTTCCAAAACTCCTGGATCATTGTTTCGAAAACTCCTGCTTGACTGATTCAGATCACACTGCGACAAACCATCTAATATAACAGAGGGATATTGTGCATTGTAGAGTAGCGTCTCCAGGAATGATGTTATGCACACGGTCAGTCGGACTGCCGGGTTCATTCCTTCAATCTTAACGTAGCAAAAAAGCACATATACATGTAGAGGAAGACAGCTACCTGCCCTGTGTGTAGAAACTATTGATGGACACAAAGAGTGACATGACCTGCTCTGGCTACCAACGATCATTGATATGTAGAGTTTTTGTCTGCAGACTTCACATTATCGATCATTATCATTTCTGAAACAGTGTTTCTGACTATAGGCAGGTTCCTAGAGAAGTCTTTGCCCCAGCACTTTTTCTTCACTGACCAGTTGGAAACCACAAGTTGTTCAGTTAACAGTAATTGTGCTAGTATCAAAGGTGTAAGTAAATTTAACATCTTGGATGGTTACAATGGTGGCAGGACTGGTTACATAGTGTCACAGAGCCTGAGGCAGTCTAAGTACCTTTCAGTTTGTGCACACACACATGATCATAGACACAACACTTATGGCATCAGTCCACTTTCATTTTTGGTATAATTGTATTCTGATGCTGCTTACAATATCTGAACACCTGATGTCGAATGTGACAACTTTGTACATTTAAGTGATCAAAAACACACATTATGTAACAAAAATAATTGGTAGTATGCTTTGCATGCGGCCTGCACGTGCAATTTCACGGTGTTTTCAGGAACCACGCTTTCTGACTTTTGAAAAATAACGTTAAACACTGTGGGAAATTTGTTAGCTGTTTCTGTCTTATTAAGATAAAGATTTTATTTTATATACTTGTCTGTCACAATAACCTTGACCATCGTATGTACTCATAGTTGTTGTAGTCATCAACTCTTCATAAAATTTGATATGGAAGTAAATTAGTGAGTGTATATATATATACATAACATTATATAACATTTTATAGAGCCATAGCAAACTGGGTACATACATTCATGAAGTTTTTAAGTAGGTCTTATGTTGTGGGAGGGTCTAAGGTGTAAGGTACTTAGTATAAGATTAAGTCAAGTTAAGGAAGCCATTATTCCATGATGCAGAAGCTGTGCAGTTGTCCCAAATACTAGTATACATTTTTCATATCAAAAACTCCAGATACATAGAAATAATCATACAATAATGAAGTATATACATGTATTTGAGGGGGATCAGATGATCAGTATTCAATCATTTGGTGAACATAGACTAGATACCTTAACACATAACTTGCTGTACACGTTTATGAGTGCTTTCACAATAAATGGCTATTAGGTGGAAATTAATAAGCCTGTGATGTTCATATTGCATGAGTTCTTAATTATCACAGTAACTCTGTGATAACAAAATATAATTTTGACACTTTCAGCATTGCAATCTGTAGTATGGTAGTATTTCTCTGCATTTGTCTAAGGGAGCAAAAATGTAACCAAGAAATGCAGTCATGCTATACATACATACAGCAACATGTACCGTGTGCCTACAGAAGCATCATTAGTCAGAACATTTAACTCCTCAGCATCTTTATGTTGAGATCTTGAACTTGTCCTTCCTCTCCCTGAGGGCTGCAAGGACACTGGCCTGGAACTCTTCTGTCACACCTGTCAATCCTCTGGTTTCCATGCCGACCGCTTCAGCCACTGCCAGGTCCCTGGTCCTCAGGAACACATTGTGTTGTTTCTCATCTCCCACTGTTGATGGGCACTGTTTGTTGGGATATGGTAATGAGTGTCTCATACCACAATATTTAGTGTTTTTTTTGCAAGTTTGATTTATGATTTATTGAAGTTTGACATGACACAAGCAGACAAAAATACATGAAACATACTTGTACATGTACATGTATGATACAATTTCCTCCTACATTACACAGAATCAGTCTGCATACTTTGCATTTTGTTGTGTAGACCTCTGACAAAATCATGAAAATCTGTTGTTTCATTCTTCAGTTATCCTCTTTGAAACTTTGTAACAAAAAAGCCCCTGCAGTAACAAAACAAGTTGCTAGGGGGCACAAATACTTTTTTCCTGACATCTTCTACCAAAAAAATCAAGACCATCCAGAACAAATGATACAGAAACAGGAATTGCACCCCTGCAATATCAAAGAAAGTTGTCAGGGAGCCCAAAATCAACCTTGAGCCTCATGTTTCCAAGATCTACTCCCACGTACCAAATACATGTACATGTATCATTACAATCCATTTAGCTTCAGGAAGATATTCCTTTCTGGAAGCAACAATGGAATGTACACATGTACCAGCACATAAAACCAAGTTGCCCCTTTAAGCTAAGCCAACTCACCGTGGCCATCTTTGCTTTTCTTCTTTCTTTTGTCCACCTCAGCTTCTCCCGGATGTTCTCATTGTCTCCATCTATTGTCTCTCCATACAGCAGGTTCTCCAGTGTGTACTCATGCCCTAGAATGATATCAGCAATTATGTGGTTGCTTGGTGAGCAGTGGACAGTGTTCTGCTATATTGCAGAATGTCATAATTTTGACCTGCAATTTGGAAATACTTTCTGCAAATACACACCTAAAAGTCCAGATCTGTTGGCAAACATTTTACATGCAATTTGAAAAATACATGCAAAATTAGTTGTATATCATAGAGTCAGTAGTTAGCATAAAAGCTCTTCAACACCATTGAACCCCTAGCCTGATTTTTCCAGTCTGCAAAATTGCAGGTTGCTTAATTTTTCTTCTGCAATATTGATAATGTCTCTGCAAAATGGAAACTGCAGATGGTGCGGTACTATAAACAAGTGTTCAGAAAGACATACAGATAGGAAATTATGGTGAAAGGAATCATTCCTCTCTACGAGTGGGGTGTGGGGAAGAGTAGGGAGGTCTACGAGTGGGGTATGGGGAAGAGTAAGGAGGTCTACGAGTGGGGTGTGGGGAAGAGTAGGGAGGTCTACGAGTGGGGTGTGGGGAAGAGTAGGGAGGTCTAATATCCTATGTTCTCTTCAAATGAAGCCCAGACAGAGCCCAGAGGAGTTCACCTGGCCAGATGATTGTGTTGTCTGGCTGGCTGCTGACCTTCTCCAGAGACTTCAGCATGGTGGCTGCATCACCCTCAAATGTTCGACCTGGCAATGGAAGTCAACATGGTTTCAACACGTATGTTTTTCCACAACTTTTCTTTCCACTATGATAGTGACTGAAAACAAAAAACAACGACTCCTTGAGTGCAATTTTCTCAGTTCAGAACAGGAATCCAATACTTAGTCAGTTCCACCATGCCTTCCATGTAACTCTTACATGGAAAATTGTAATGAATAAATAAATAGATAGATAACCACAATGATTTCCAATGTCCTAAAATGGTGTTATCCAACATGTTTCAATGTTACCTCTGTGTGAAATCTGGTGACAATATATAGCAACATCTTTCACAGTAAAGCAACAGGTAAATCAACTGCAAAGGAATAGAATATAATGAAAGAGTACTTAGATGTTGATATCTACATCAATGCCTGTATATCAGACTCACCACAGCCCCCAATAAAGAGGAGATCTCCGGTGAAGATTGAGTCAGGAGCCTGGAACGGTGCTCCGTCCAGCCGGTACACCACATGGCCGACTGTGTGTCCAGGAGTGGACAGGACATGGAACTCTAACCCTCCTACCTGTACTACATCCCCATCCTGTACTGGACTGGATATCCATTATATACACAATTACTACATACAGAATAACACAGTAAGACACAATGTATGCAACAAAGAAGCAAGGTGCAAATGTCCATACTGCACTTAACCAATGACAATGGTCCTATTATCTCTATCTTTGATGGCCACTCTTTTCATAAGTTTTTCTTGTCATAATATAATATTAAGATAATATCTATTATGATTTTTTGTTTTGGTAATACATACTTAGTAAGAGCTGGGACTCCATCGGTAGCACTACCATATATGGACAGACCTGGAAACATCCTCTTTAAAGTGTGGTTCCCTCCACTGTGGTCCCTGGGAGAGTACAGATAACAAACACACTGTGGTAGAGCTTTACATTTGTATTGTTCTGACCAAACACTGCATGTCAGAATATTGTTACTTGCCTTGATCGGTAATAGCATAGCATTATTAAACTGTTACCAGTGTTTGTGAGTTGTTAACACAGATCGGTAAAAGCATAACATTATTAAACTGTTACCAGTGTTTGTGAGTTGTTAACACAGCTGCAAGCTGTACACCTTCTTGCTTCAAACAGGCCTAGAAAAGAACAGATATTCATATGTCATTTTCTAACATAAACAACATCTGACAGAAATATAAAATCTAAGTAGTATTAAGTACAGTATCTTGTAAGTTTGAGCTGTGCTGCACAATAGGCCCTGAAGTAAACATGACACTTTCTGTTGTTTGATAAATGATGCAGGCAACTCCCAGAATATTACTACTTCAAGAAGGTCTGCGGGGGGTGTGGGGTGTCCTCGACTTAACAGTGAATTCACATCACACTACATGTGTATTCAACATCTTCCCTACAAATTCTGAAAAATCCCACTTTATGTAGAATTGGATGTACATTGCTGAATATGAATCACAATGAATTGAAATAACTAACTAAGGCCGTGTTTATGTGAAGTCAGTGAAGGCGCTTTACATGTGGTTTACCCCGAAGCCGGTTTCAAGTGGCTCCATCTGAATGCTCTAAATCACATTGAAAGTGCCTCGGTCCCAAGCCACTTCTAGAGGTGGTTTCGAATCGGTTTTCCCGCATCGCGATTTGCGTCTGAACGCAATGTGATTTCAATGTGACTTCGCCTGGTCATGGATTACGGGGTGATATATCTTTATTTATATGCAATACCAAATTTTACGTGGCAGCAACTTAAAGAGAAGTAATGGTCAAATAATGTGTCCGTTCTAGGACGAGCTTCACCGCCTCTGGCGGGATCACGTCAGCATTTGGCCGAGGTACGCTGGGAGGGGGGCACCAGCAAGCAGGTCGTTGAACTCTGACATTTATAACACGCTACCTTGCGTGTTTTCATCGAACAACAATGAATGCAGTTTCAGAGAATCGTGATCGGGCACCGTTTGAAAGGAATGTATGGCACGTGCACCAGATGTAAGGAATGTGAGTTACCCGAATCGCGGTTTGGGTGACTTTACATAAACACGGCTAAATAAAGATCGCCAAACCTAGCTGGTTCCATTCCTATCTACCCTGGGTCATATCTAGGACCATACCTGGACTGCTTCTGGATCAGAAGGGTCCACAACAACTGCAGTTCTTGTCTTGGTGTTCATCACAACATAGCTGTAGTTATCTGAGACAATGGCCACAGGCTGGACCTTTAAGTCTGGAAAATCAATGGACTATTTATTTTATGCATGTATTCCAGGTGGAGGGAATGCAACTATGATTAGAATCAACAGGTGGTCGAACTTACTTGTCATGTGTACATATATAACAATGTCAACATGAATGCATTGAGACAAGTATTCGTAAAGTTATATGAAACCGTAAAGCAAACAATTTTGAGTGCCACAATTGATGTTATAGCTGCTTATCATGTTAGAGTCTGATAAAAAATTAGGTAAAAGCCCATTGCTTACACAAACCTCTAAAGATTACTGCTGATGTAACTGAGTGGCCATCTGGATGTTTCTCCCTTGCCTTAGTAAGAAGATGGTGGTGGTACCAGTACCCTACAGGTGTTTTTGTGTACAGCCAGTACCTGTGTGCAGAGACATTGATTGATATCATAACCATCACAGTAAGGCCACAAGTTATTATTTGAAAGGCGCTCATTGCCTTCTAGGTTTGGAATTGCTTTCTTTCAGTAGGAATCATTACCAAGGGTTTATACTGTGTCATTAACAGTCACCAGTATTATTCTGATGTGTCCCTTCACTCTTCGAGTTTACTCTACTCTTGCCCTTAGCCGTGGACGACTCTGTAACCCCTTTTGCCATGATAATGCCGGGTCATATGTACCGGCATATCATGCAAAAAGGGTTACAGAGTCGTCCACGGCTACTCTTGCCCTCTGCCCTCCCCACAACCCATGACAACCCACGTGAAAACAATAACACTTACATAACAGTGAAGACTAGACTTGGTCTGGACCTCCTTGGTGACTTGGCACGTCCCATGCTGATAACACAATACAGTCCCAACCCCAAGGTCACGCCAGCTACAGCATAGAAGAACATCTTCTCCCTTCTGGTGCAGAAAGCTAGGGAGACACTGTCAGTATCTATCACGTTAGAGTAGTTATTAGAGACTCCTATCCGATTTGGTTTGATTTAACAACGCTATGTTCACAAGTTCATGTGCTAAGGTCACTAGATAATCCAACTAGTTAACCATTGCCAAGTTAACACTTGGGTAATTTAACAGAACAATAAAATAGGATCAACACTGCGTTTATAGGGTCATCGGAAGGATGTCTTGTTATAAGTTGCATTGCTATGCATAATCGCTAGATGTCCCCACTGCACTGTGATTGTGCCAACTAATAACTTCAGGTGTCGTGGATACGATATTGTGAAACTACTCTAAATGTGCGGTTGCGATGTCTTGAAAGAGGAAAATTTAGCAGCTGAAAATCGGAACTTTGTGGGAAAATATTCATACTACTGGTAAGCTGTAGTGCGGTTTAGATCCGGTTTAACGTTAACATAGTGTTCGTTGTGCAGCATGGTAAATTTTTATAAGTGCATTTGTTATTTTGTAACCTAGGCACTAGTGGAAGGCCGTTTTAGGAAGATTACAGTATAATCTCTTTAATTACACTATAAGGAACCAATTCTATAAACAGGAGCAGGGTTTTCCGGAAAATATAATAAGTTTGGGAGGTAAACTTCTTTTTGAACTTCCCGCCACTAAGGAATACCCGACATCCCTTAGTTCGCGCATGCCCTTTGCGGTCGTGTTAGCAGGATGAACGTCATTCCGAGAGGCGGTCTGTGATTGGCTACAGATGTACAAGTGGCAACTTGAGCTGGACCTGCGGAGGGACAAAGATACCTGGATGGATCAGTTTGCAACATTCTGTCGTTAGAAATATTACAACAAACTTCCATTGAGCCGTTATTAGTGTCGTATATAAATTCCAGCAGAACATTTTCGCGGAAGACATCCCAGCGCCACGGGACAGCCACCAATCAAAGCCGGGTTGACAGCAGGACGGTTCACAACGGTCCACAGTTCAAATTTGCCGCTGGTGATTGTGCTGCTCAACTTCACAAGCAGCTGAGCCATGGACTGAGCAACATCGTGTCCCCGCAACAGGCACAAAACGCACCAACAACTACCCACCAACACGGCGGCAGGAATGACACAGCCTCTGCTCGACTGTAAATATTCCTTGTAAACTCGCAGAGACCTGTGCGGCTGACTTCTCCTGTCGAGCCGGTCCGGGGAAGCCTGTGTTTGGGCCAGTGTTGGTGCACATCCGTCCGATGCTACAGACGTGAACAGGAATGGAGAGACGGAATAAACTCACACGGTCTCCCTCCATGAAGAGGAGGAGCAAACCCACACCTCTCTCTGACAGGGTGAGTTTGGGAATATACACCTATAGTCCTTTACGGTTGTATTCCAAGCAGTAAGTGTGAATATTTGCCCAAGGAAAATGATTATAATGGAGGGGGGAGGGTATGTCTTGTACACATGAAGATAGTAGATCACTTCGGCCAGGTCAGCTCAGCAAGGGTATCCTCACCTGAGCAAATCTCTGTTAATAGTGCTTAATGACAAGGGAGGATATCTAAGGTATCCAAGTATGTATTGTCAGTACTCCCAGGCGTTTCTGTCTACCTGATTTACCTCATAAAGTGCATGTTTACACATGGTGAGTTAGTTTTAAGCTGTATATGATTGTTCTGTTGATGCCAGGTTACTCTGGAGAGAGTGCTGGGGCTGACACTCACCAATAACTGTGGTCTGGCCAGCAGTCCTGTCACCGGAGTCATCGCCTACCCTGCTGGGTAAGTATACTGCATAGCCAGATATTGGGATTACTAGTACTTAAAATTAGCTTTATGAACAAATTTCCAGTAGTTGGCAGGTCTTACATCGTGTGTTGTCTGTTGTTGGTATTTAAACAGATAGACAGGTTAGTCAGGGCATGGTTACTACCTACCTAGAAAATTTACTGATCCAGTGATATTTTTTACCACAAGTCAAACACAGTGTGTAAGTTTACCAAGTTGTGGCACCAAACCACCCAGGTCTGATATTAGGGTAGGCGGCCATTTTTTGCAAGTGAAGTCAAACAGTCCAGTAATGGCAGTATAGTATAGAAAGGCTGGTATAGTAAAGATAGGTAGGTACTACATTTCTTGACTATATCATTGCCGCATGCAATTAAATTATCAGATAACCATACATGTTGAACCTGCCTTGTTGTATGCTGTTAGTCAGAAGTAGAATATGCGAAGAGTTTTTGTCACAGTACAGACTGGATGCTGAACAACCATGTCATGACTCATGCTTGAAGTGTCCATAATGTGATCTGTCCTTTTGTCCCGTCTGTGTGAGACCATTGCTGGAATTAATGTTTGTTTGTGAATTTTGTAGTTCCTGGACACTGACCAATACAGTGTGCTGTCATATCAGCTTTACTCTAAGCAAATACCGTAGATGTATAATGTAGATATCTCTTTTCTTTGTTGCTATTATCATGTATGATCTTTAAAAGGACAGGAAGCAGCATATGGGCCTTACAAGGCTCAAGCCTCCTTTCCAGGTCATGTTTGTTCATCCCTCAGTGAAACAGCAAACAAAAAGAGGAGTGTAAACAGCTTCCCTGCATGCTGGTTTGACTTTTCCTGCAGTTAAATAGAGAACCCTGTTTGTCAGTGGAGTTAGTAATTAGGTAGCTCTGTAACAAGGACAAGTTGATGAAGATGTCTTGTTGTACAATCACAGATGGGATCAAAATGTTTAATGTTGAATTGCTTTGTGTCATGTTACTTGTAGTAAAATTTGGAGCCTTACAGTTACAAATTCCACCAAATGTCAAGCATTGGTACAGTGTATCTAAGTTGGAATCCCCACAGTGTAGACAGAAGTCTGTAGACCTGGGATTTTGAAGGGAACACCATATTCCCAGGACACAGTGGTCATAATCGGGATGTTGACAGAAGTCATAATCCTTCCTATGATAATAACTGTTAAATCTGCATCACGTCACCGGTCCTGTACTACAGTGAAAGAAAATCAAAAACAGTAATGATATGCTGTAAATACTGTCTTAAACATTCCAAAGGAGGCTCTTTTTGGTTGAGTGCATCAGCATCGACCAAGGTCGATCAGAAAGAAAGAAAGCTCTTAGGTAAACATGTACTCACAATACTGGATAACCTGAAAAAGTTGACAGGAATGACAGGAAGGCAACTGATGGTTTCCCTAGAATTTTATCCAGTTTCTAGTTGTCATCAGTTGAATATACATGTATTTAGCATGGTCTCAGTCCCAGTAAATGTAGTCACAGTCCATACCCTTTCTACTGAAATTCTGTTGTGTGGAAACAATTGAATTCCTCTAATGTCAGATTTGTGGCCAGGCTACACACGTCACTGTGTTCAGCTTATAACCAATTGATTTAGATGTATATTACGTTCATTATGTTTCATCAGCTTGGATACACATAACTGCAATGTTTATGTGTTACTCCAAAGGCAATAGTGCAAGGACTGTTTTCTCAGTACGTAACAGTAAACTAAGTTTGCTGTTTCTTGTAAGCAACAGACTAATGTACAACCAACTTGACAAGGGCCATTGCTGCTATGTGAACTCCATATTTGTGTTGTTCACCTTTTGTTTGGTTTGCTCACCTATTGTTTGGTGTGCCTTCAGCACAATCTAGACTACCATTCATCGCTCAGCTCCTATAGACTCCGACTTTGTCAACAGTATCTACTGTGGCAAATTGATTCACTCAGCCATGATCTGTTTTGCTTTGTTTCTTTAGAGAGGGGAAACTCAACCTCAGGGCATATTGTACATAGTTTGCTGCAAAATCTTCCTGTGGTGCTATATCAGATTTTGATGTTATTGACATTCATAGAGTGGTCAAGATAATGTTTTGTCTGCTGATATTTTTAGTGGGTCAGCCTGTGAAATTTGGATTTGTTCTGGTCAAACAACTTACAGGTCTAGGATAGAAAAGTGATTCTTCAGTTCTATTTCATGTGACAGTGATCCAGACAGTTCTATAGAAGCTGTAAGTTCAGGGCTAAGGGAGTTGCTAAAAGTGGAATAATAAGGACATGACTGTAACACAAGACGAGTTGGTTATTTCATACTTTTGAAATTTGCCCTTTCCATCTGTGTGGCCTTGACCATTTATATGTGTAATAGAGAAATCACTGGATATTCCAAAATCACTTGAGGAAATTTCCATAGGTAAACACAGAGATATGGATTATCTATATTCTTCCAACTGAGATTGGTTTAAGGGTCCATATACTAGTATTGTAATATTACTCTTATGCTGTATTTAGAATCACAATTTGTTTATTACATGGATTATTCGATAACATTATATTTATAAGATTGGGCCATGGTTTGACATAAAACTGAGGGCCACAGTATCAGTTGGGATGTGGGCAGTTGGTTTTGAGGATATATCGAGATTGTAGTCAGAGGACAGATACTGTGACCTTCAAAATGCCTCTGCCATTAACAACTATTGCATTAAGCCTAGCTCAACCTATTTCTAGCCCCCTTGACTGCATATCACATCAAGAGGGTTTATTTAATCTTAAACTTGGTTTTGGAGAGCTTAAGATTAGCTGTTTATAGTGCAAATCAATGGCAGGAATAATACACGAATGTGGCCATAGCTAAATGTCTAAACATTGCATCCTGTTGGTGTTTCAGATAAGGATAATAGTGCTGTAAGCTATTCATGTGTGACATATGTTTCCAATATGTTTTGTGCCTTCATTATAAGCCAGCCTTGTATGTATAAATTTCTCAGTATTTTGTGTCACCTCACCTGAAAATGATAGTCTTTTGTTGTGTTATGTTGGCATGGATTCTGTCAGGTGCAACAATACCTGCGGCTAACCTAAGGCCTCGTGCTTGATCAATGAAGCTGGGTGATATTCCTTTTGTATTAATGGGACCCCAAAGTACAAGCTATAGAACAGAAGGTCAAGCTACACAAGCTACATATCCTGCTATGTGACAGCTGTCTCATGCCTCATCCCTGGCAGTGTAGAACTGGCAACATCAGTGCGGAGGCTTCAATCTCTAACAATCTCAGCAGCTGGAGACAGTCTACGTAATTGGACTGGACTTGGTATTTTTATATCCATTAGAAGCAAAGGAACAGCTTTGAATTGGAATGTATACAGTTTATACCCTCTAGGAAAAAAATCCATAAATGCTGTTACAGTGTTACCCCTATACTGGCCCTAGTCACATCTTTTGGATACTGCTGCTATATATTGGCAGCTTACAGCTCTCAGCAGTCATGCAGCTGTAGCATACACTGTCTTAAAAAGTCTTTATTTTCATGAAAATTATGGAAACTCTTTTTCTGGTTAGCTTACTAAATCATTTGTGTACCTGGCTAGTATTATAG